TCCTCATTGCCAAGCACAGATCAGTCTAGAAAATAAAGTTATAATCAATAATCGTAGTTTCACATGTCACCTTGAACTAAAACTGAACTAATTTCAAATAATTTACGTTAAACTTTGATATATTACTCAAGAATAAGTAATAAAGATGTTGACTTATTAGTTACCAACTTTTTGCTGAAAGGTAAACACTGGAGACAATGAAATCTAAATTCTAGTAAAAAATTCGCATAGAAATGTACTAATATAGAGAAATGTCTCGAGCTTTGGGTAATGGGAAGGGCGGAAGCAGTCAACCACAACGGGCCTTAGGCAACGACGTTGTGCACAAAAGTGCGCGCAAGTTGTCCCGCGCTGCACTAGCTCGGCGTCATGCCGCGGGTGCCGCTACTTTTGCTGGTGATCGCTGCCGCGCGGGCCGCCGATGTTTTCCTCATCGCAGATACTGCAAACCAGACTCAAGCCCTAGCAGATGCTCTCAACGAGACCGTCTTACACGCGACCTACACAAACCTCAGTGAATCTAACGACACGTTAACTGATGGGGATCACGAGCCGGTCGTCCGGAAAAAACGAACATTCAGCGACATCGTGTTCCGCGGCCTAGCAGATGTACTTGGCTATAACGTAGCCCGTAAGCCACCCCAAGCTTTTCAGTTTCCGCCACCTCTCGCGCCTATCCCAGGAATAGACTCACCAGCACAGGCAGGGCCTGCACCAGCACCTACTGTTCCTCCAGCACCACCCTGTGCCTCTCCTCGGGCTGTGGCACCTCCACCCTGTCGAGCGCGGTCACCAACGGCTCAACCTAAAGCACCACCACCTTGTGCTAAGCCTCGAGCCGCAGCACCACGTGCCAAGCCCACTCAACCACCAGCACTCCCACCCCCTTGTGGAACACCTAAAGCCAACCCCACTACACCAGCCCCGTGCTCTCCTGCCGCACAACCGAAAGCTGACTCAAGTCTAGAAACAATCAACACAAACTTTCGCCTCAACTTTAACTTCAACCGAGCACTAGCGACGCCCACTCCCGTCGGTGAAGAAGTAGGTGTTGCAGACGAAGATGTATTGTCAGAGCAGACTCCTGCCAATCCCATTGTCATCCAACCCCGTGCAGCTAAATTGCCTCCACCCGCCCCGAGAAATCCCCGAGTTTACGTAGATGCTTTTGTACTTCGAGATGGCGTCGCCCAAAGAGTACACACTGTAGATGCGCAAAACATTAACAGAGCACAAGCTGCAGATGACGACTATCTTTTCTATGTGGATGACGAGCCTACCGCTCAGCAGGGTCGCCAAGACTTATACGACGACTACGAAGATGTTCAGGATTCTAGCGATCGTTCAAGTGCTCTACGTGATGTTGGAAAAGCAGTAGATCAGTTTTGGATGCAAAAACCACCATCAAAACAGAAATTAGCCGCGAACGACTACAGAAGAGTTCATTTTGGCGACCGTGACGTAGGTAACCGACTTCTAAGTGAAAGTGACGATTATTCACCAAAAACAAAACGAACTAGAACAAAACCGAAACGCATTTCTACATCTACAGATACTGACTTAGAAGAAGAGAGCGAAGTGACAACAACGACTCAAGATCCACGACGAAAACTGAAGCCACGGGTGTTGCCGCCTACAGAACATAACCCCAACCAAATTGATACAATAACAGTACGGGTTCCACCAATCTATAAAGAAAAACGTCCTAAAAAACTACATAGAGAAATACCCGAGAAACCGGATCGTGATGAAAACGATTTCGAAGAATCTCCTCGAGAATATGAGGAAGATGCTGAGAGTGAACAGAGCATTCAGATAGATCAAACTGAGGCGCCAAAACGCAAACGACGACGAAAGAAATCCAGGCGAGTGCGATCGACTTACAGTAAAGACTACAGTGCGGGAGACTACGACTATTATGGCGAAAAAATTCCTTTTTCTGAGGAGGAGGAACATTTTAAAACGTTGACAGTGCCACCTCCTACGAGAGATGCGGATGTAGCACGCTTAGAGGATGCTGAGGACGAGGGTCATTTCCTTGATGACCATGAGAGGCTTCGTGAGGATTCTGAACGTATTATCGAAAAGAAATCAAGTGGAAACCATGAGGATGAAAGTGAGAAGAGACCTGATGATTCCGAGAGATCCGATGACAACGAACGTTCTGATGATGAATCGGAACGGGCAGGGGAAATAGAACGCGCCGATGAAAGTGAAAAGACGGACAAGTTAAGCCCTCATGCGCGAGTCCGAGAGACAGGGTACAACAACAAGTACGTAAGGGCCCACAATGTGCGAGTAGACCGACCGCGGCCTTACGCAGAGCGCCGAGGCACCACCCTGTAATGCAACCCCGCCATAAGCAGTTTTATTTATTAACTATTCCTAAAGTAGTGCAATGAGTGTTCTCGAAAACACAAATGAACCTGTGATCTAGTGAATAGAAATGTTATTGTTATTCTTAATACTTTTATATTTAGATAGAGAAATGTATTTAAGTTTCTTAATAAATTTTACCAAATCGATTTCATTATTTGCATTTGCGAGGCATCGACCTGACCGCTGAAGCGTGAAATTCGATTTGTACAAGGCGACGACTGAGCGATAAGGCGGTCAAGGCCGCACGAGATGAAATAGAAATCACCCGTCGGGAATATACCGAATACCGAACAGTAACAATCAGCATACAACCATTTTCTTTTTCACCTACCACAGCGTATACAACTCATTGCAGCATAGTTTTTAAATATGTCTTTAACCTACACATGTTACTACAATAAAGAAGGGTCCAAATTATATACCCGAATGTATTGTTTGTGATGTTATGATGTTAGTTAGCAGTAATTTGCTTCTAAATCTGCTACTTTGAACTTATTTAATTATGCTGCGATACATTATTAATCATTTTCACTTCTTGGACATTTGAACAGAAATAAATTAACATTGGGGACACCCAAACAGGCAACGCAGGCAGATAAGTTAGCTATGAAACCAACGCAGAAATGTGTCTGCGCCAAAGCCGTACATACATTACGGGATTTCTGACTATCGAGACAAGCACCAATTCCACCCTTAATAAGTGTATCCTTAAAGCTAGGGACGCCTAATTAAAGGGACGTTTTTTCAATAATAGTTTTTAATGTTGGTACACACATACCTTATCTATAGATTCTTAAGAAATTGTTTGCAGAGAGTGTTCGCTACATATTAATCACTAATAACAGTCAAATGCTTTAATTTGAAATAAGCACATAACCCGGATGACAAAAATAAAATTAGTTTATAGGCTTTCATTTGTTTCTTATTGGTATAATGGTACCACCATAAACATTAAGTTACCTAACTCACCTTACATGCTATACGGAGATGACGAGGAATGGCATGGCGTGTCAGTGAGCGTACGCGGTGGAAAGTGCTCGCCATTTGGTAACGCCATGCATTATGATGTCCTGCAATCACAGGGACGAATTCACAATGCGACACTCGACCTTCACTCCCAAAGAAAATTATGTTCTTAGATTGGAGAGAGAGTTCTCTATGTAGAGAGTGAAGGGAACCTTATTAATAAACCGTATTTATTGAAATATTTAAAATATGGTGTATTGGGGGCCTATGACAACCTATAACTAAGCTGCATTGCTTACTTATAATATGACGTCAAAAAAATCAGCCCGTTTATATTTCCACGTGATGTTAGGGGTAATCAGATTTCGTTCATTCAATTTGTATTTACTCGTAAATTCCTACCATGACTCCGCGACTGAACCAAAATTTGATTGTTTCGCCTTCAAACTTTGACAGAATAAGCTATTCTAAAAAGTTACTTTTGTTCAACTTTTTTGTATCGAAATGTGGAAAGTATAGTTGTAGAACATATAAAATTCAATATTTATATTAATACTAGTTCAAAAAGTTAAAATAATAAGATGTGATATTGAAGAAATTTTATTTGGGTTAATTTTTTAGTTTAGGATAAGGAACAAGACGACAATCTCCTTCTACCGACTTCGAAAATGTCGAGTTTATAGTTGACTTGGCTATAGATCAATGACTTTGATTCGTTGAAGATTTCAGTGGTCCTACACGTAATTGCCTAATAACTAGTTTAATAATATTTATATATTTAATTAGGCATGTAGATATTATCTAAACCATAGAACTTGATTCCCAAAAATATCGAGCTTCCGCCCGCGTTGACTTCTTGTATTTTACGAAAGTGCGACTTCTTCAACTATAATTCCGATTTTAAAATATAGCATAATGAATTACACACCTAAACTTTCTTAAGGAATCAGGAAATTCATAGGTAAAGACTACAATAATAGACCCCGCCTGGTTCTTTATTATTCTATACAATAAACAAGAATGCTATATAATTAGTATTTATTATACTTAATTCAAGTGTTCCTTATTACGAGTATATTCATGAATTATATTATTCACCTATGAGGGTTTGTGATTTAGGAACATAAACTCATCAGCATGTCAACTAGATTATTTTAAAAAAGCTTATTGGTAAGCTCCATGTCAATACAATCTCGTTGATCTTTTTTATGGTTTAAATTAACAGGGCTATTAAAAAACTATTTTGCAACAAAATGATTTATATTCTGTTAGATGTCGTATTCGATCGTTTCTTTAGAATCCCACCCTGTCGGTATTGGATCAATTTTCTCTATTACGTATCTTATAGATTTGTATGCGTCCACGCACCCATGTTACACGAATGACGGCAACTGCTACGCGCGTTGACTTCTTAATTACGCTGATAACTAAAACGAACCTTCATTCATTGTAACAAAGTCTAGTTTACTGTAAATAAGTTTCGGATGCAGTATTTAGGAAGGGAAAGCCTCGAAGCTATGCTGGCTCGTCCAGTGAAAATAGGACGATTGTTACATACTAATCGTTATTATTTTAAGTTATAAGTATGGGTGGAGGGTCGACTTGTAATCCGTTGCTAGGAGACAGTTACGCCGTCCGGTCGGCGGCCGATCACCATGAAACTATTCACTGTGAGTATTTCACCGGGATGCAGTGCTCTTAGTGAAGTGCCTATTGCTTACACATGTCTCGGGATTATTATTGTGTGTTAGTGTGTAGTTGGTAGTGAAGTGTTAAGTGATAAATCTAGTACATTGTGAAATAGATATATAAAGATTATTCCATACTAAACTCTAATATAAAATAAATCGCTTAAATTTTATAAAGGTTGCGACACTTTACAATGCTCAGATTAATGTTTGAATGTAATGTTCGTGGTTTTTTTAAGATCATAAGTTAACCGACAGCATTAAAACTTTTTAAAGTAATAGAAATATTACTATGTATATTTTTTGTAAGATAATGAAAAAAGTATAAGACTAGCTGGTGCCCGCGACTACGTCTGCGCAGGATTAGTATTTCGAGTAGCTTATATTAGCGTGGCGTAGAAAAAAACTACTGAAGATGGCAATGTTAATCTTAAATAGTCAATTTTAAGATAAACATTTCCATCATACATTAATATGCGGAACTCTAGCGGTTTTAGCAGCGCACGCCAGAATAGCTCGCAGATAGTAGATTTTTTCCTACTTACTTGATATTTCGGAAAATTCACACACTATCTTTATAAATTGTAGCCTATGTGTTATTCTGATGTATAAGCTATATTATTGTAAAGTTTCATTACAATCCATTCATTAGTTTTTACGTGAAAGAGTAACAAACATCCATCCATACTTACAAACTTTCACATTTATAATATTAGTAGGATATTATATTGAATTTAGAAAAACAATCAAATGATGTATCTTTTTTATTTGCTAGGTAGAAGCAAAATAAAACGCCTGGAACGGAACCCAGGCAACTTGGGGATACGCGATAACTATAAATAAAACCGATTTTGTTATCACGACTTAGCACCGAAGAAAGTGATTTGTCTCAGATGCAAGCTAACAGAACTGTCACTCATATTTGATAACATTTCAGACCGCAGTCGTGCTGTGTATTGCCAGCAGCGTCGTCGCAGATGTCGCACACGTAAAGGCTGCCAAAGCGAAGTTGATCAGTCATCTGGCAGGCAACGGAAAATATCACAAAAGAGGCATACTGTCTCACGTGCCACCCTTCAAATTGGGGCATGATATACCCCTTGTTACTCACTCCGTAGTCAAGCCACTAGTGGTGAATTACCCACCCACAGCAACCATTGCATCAGTTAAAGTTCCCCTTACAAATCCCCAGAGGTATCCGGTAGGTGTAGGACACAAGGTGACGGGGCTGCCACATCCACATTATGCACTACGGTTTCCTCACACCAAATATTACGTGAAACCCGATCATCATTTTCACCATCACCACCATCATGTAGAACCTAAGCCTGTAGTACCTGTGGTGCCGGCCCCGGTAGTTCCGGTGGGCCCCATCGTGCACACGGCCCCTGTTGCACATCCTCTCCCCGCTGCTGTACTGCCAGCTCCACCTGCGCCGATTGCTTCACCACCGCTAGTGTTTCCTCATAGCCTTAAACCTCTTCTTTCTGCAGCTTCCATACCTCTAACTCCGGGCGTGCTTCCTCGTCAAGTATTTCCTCTACAACAGCAGTACGTTATCCGTCCAGGTGCTGCAGTTCAATCGTCATACTTTGCCACCTATCCCCGATATCCGTTAATTAACAGTTACCAAGCTCCATTGTTTCCAGTGCCTGCGATTTCTGCAATTAATGATATACCTACTGCACCTTCAGTCCATCAAGTAATTCAATCTCATAATCCGCATTTTCACCTTGTACCTCAAGCTTATCCCCAAGAAAGCCCAGTAGAACAACACAATCCTAACGTCGCTTACGAACAGTCTCCTACACTGGTTTATAATAGTCATGACGTCCCACAACCCGCTGTTCACGTTCACCCAACCCAAGAAACATTTTTACATCCAACATTTAATATTCAACCAACCCAATTTATCCCTCATTCCGCTGTACCTTTGCAACCAACACAGCCTTCAATACCGGTAGAACATGATGGTTGGTCTCCAGTTCCATCCAATCCTGAGACTTCACACCACGATGGGGTAGCGCAAGCTCATCAATTTGTACAGGAGCAAGGGACGCAAGTGTACGAGCAGCATGATTTCCAGCATCAGATTCACCAGCACATCCAACAACAGATTGAACAAGCCCAATATGAGCAAAGTTTGCACAACCAACATCACCTACAGCAGGAATATGGAGTGCCTCAGGTCAGCCATGACCACGCCCAACCAAATCCAAACCAAGGTCAAGATTTTCTACAGCAGGCCCACGATTTATCCCATCATAGTCATGACTTAAATCAGCAAGGTCATGATTTGACCCAGCATGGATATGATTTTTCTCAGCAAGGGTACGACTTTTCCCAAGGACATGGTTTTTCCCAGGCAGATTTCGCACAACAAGGACATGACTTTGAACAAGGCGAAGACCTCGGACAGCATCCCAGACCTGAGTACGGCGTGCCTCAGTCGGAAGGGCGCAGCACGGACGATGACATTCAACAGTTCCACAACCATATCCCTCTGTCTCTTCAACCACCAATCGACAGACCGTTAGATCACTTTCAGTAATAAGTCTAGCTCTCTAGATAACGCATGAAATTGAGTGTCTCAACGGTCGCGATAAGTCGAAGCGACCGAGTCATTTGTTTTTAGTAGCATTTAACATAGTACAGGAGCAATATGTAAGTGGTTCTACTTGTCACTACCTCGTCGAAATAATGTGATAATTTTTATTGGAAAAGATTTGGGACGAAATTAGGTGTTTGAGGTTACGACGAATTTATATAAAGTAAGATAAAGACAGTTTGTACAAAGTAACATACATATAGCGTAACGGATAGTTGAAGATTAAGTTTTATGTTTTTGCTAGACTAAAATATTGCCTTTTTATTTTTATAAAATGTTAATTTAGCCCTAAGTATATTTATTGTGAAATAAATATATAATGTTAATAAAGAGTTAAGTTTTTGTTAAATTCCTTTTTGATTTAGTAAAAAATGTGTTCAATAGCAGTATCAACAAGAAAAATGTTGCTCTAATCAAGTAGAAGACGTTTATTTTAGAAATAGGAACCAAAGATAAGAAAAAAAGTATTCCCCTTTAATTATAAGAACGTGAAGCGTCTGTATCATTTATAACATATTGGAACACGACATAGAAAATCAGATTTCGTTTATTCAATTTGTATGAATATTTGTCCTATGATCTCGCGACGGACCCTGAATAGGACCATTTGGCCCTTAAACTATGACAGAATAAGTGATTCTGAGAAATTTACTTTTTGCTAAACTTTTTTGTTTAGATTAACTCAACTCATAAGATTTCACTGAACACTTCTTTGGTAGAACGGCAGCACCTTCCTATTAACTACAATAAAACGTCATGGCGGTTGAAACTTGTAGGAAATACTCCAGAGCAAGCATCAGTTGAGAACAAAATTCCATTTGATAAAATAAAATCTATTACATCGAGGGACGATGGAAAGTCACCTCGGTAGCCAGTTGCCTGTTTAGCACCACCACCACCTTCGTTGAGTGCAATATGTCCATAATAAGAGTATACTTTTTGAAATTGAGATTATGAAATATATAACTAAAACAAAAAGCTTCCTTTCCAAACGAACGAAGTCATAAATATCATATTATAGTATTTACCTGATTAGCATTAACTTATTTAATAGCTAGTTCATTTGGAAGCCATTAACATATACTTAATTATTGTTAAACGAGTCCGTCTTTAAATACATTCACTCGAATAGTCTGATAACTTGATAAAACTGTGGATGTGTTAAGACGTTTATTGTAACAATTGTAATGTGTGCAATGCATAGTCTATACATTGCAAGTGAAACGTTATTAGCGAGAACTTTGGTGAGACGCGCTCAACTCGATCATCACATAGCGACCACGGTAACAATCTCAAAGCGTGTGCTCGAATGTTTAACTATTCCACGGGTATTTCGCACCAGTCTTGTTGTAAGAATTTTAAAAGTCCTCCGCGAGTTAGAACGGGAACACAATCTTCTTGACACCTGCTACGTGAGGTCAGTGGAACACCCTCGGTGTCGTAACGGGTCTTATACCTTCGGTGAGCTGTGGCAACTGCCTTTGGAGCATGAATGGATCTGTGGCGAATGTGGGACCATGCTGTATGACATCGACTATGATAGAGATCACATCCGGCTTTAGCACACTTACCGGTTACTGCGTAGAAGAGATCCGCAGCAATAACTCCCAAAAATTTAAGTTCTTATCGATAAAGTTAATGAATAAGTTTGAATAATGTCTGTCAGTCTTTTAATTTGTAAAGTCTTGGTGATAAGTATAATTTTTTCCTTAAAATTATTTATGAATGTTTGTAAATTTCCCTCAGTATTGAATGTTTTTTCATCCTGAATTAAAGCAACGATAATAATCAATTATAAATACACAAAATGTAATCAGTTCCCAAGTTCCTAGAGCTGTAACTAGGGTATTTGGCAATCGAGTACCTAGAGACTTACCAATTATAATTATGTACTTTTAACGTATGTAACGTTGACAAATTATAGTTTACCGGTATTTAGGTGATTGAGTAATCCCCATGAGATCAGAAAGTCATTTACTAGATCAGTGACCGCTGAGATAATTCTGTTAGAGGGGTTGTGAGGGCGCGTATATAAGCGTCTGGAGGGCCGCCGCCGCAAACACTGCACCTGCATTCTGCAACATTCGCTGAGTTACATATACAAAACTTTAACATGAAGGCCATTGTGAGTAAAATTTTCTTCTAAAACCTGTGATAGCCGAATAAGTCGTTCACTCTCAAACAGAACAAAATGTACATGAAACATAAAAGTGAAGTTTAATTTTTAATTGATATTAATATTATTTTTTTTCTAAATTCTACATTTTCATTATGATATATACAATAAATGTACTTGCAGCATGTTCGAAAAGCTTCTTGAATGTTATTATATTCTTATTTTACAGGTGATCGTCCTCTTGTTAGCCATCGTAGCAGTCTTCGGCGCTGAGGAGAAGAAGGAGAAGCGTGGACTGCTAGGGCTGGGTTATGGTGGACTTTACGGAGGTCATGGTTTAGGTCTCTACGGAGGTCACGGCTTAGGTCTTTACGGAGGTCACGGCTTAGGTCTCTACGGAGGACATGGCTTAGGCCTGTATGGAGGACACGCCATCGCCGCTTCGCCCATCGTCAGCCATAGCGTGGCCATTCCTGCACCCATAATCAGTCATGGAATAGCTGCTCCAGTGTTGGACCACGGAATATACGGCCACGGATTGGGCGCTCCCTTGCTGGGATTGGGTCACGGGTGGCATTAGGGCCTACACCCTTCAACAACCTCGCACCGGCGAGTCCAATTATTAGTGTATTCCAGTGCCAAATTAGTTTTGTGTGAGAAATGAATAAATTATGAAATTGTAAACATGATGTGTCATTTACTTTCTAGATATCTGTAGTTTAGTATTTTAAAAACAATAAAGTAGTTTTAAGCATAAAGTAAGTTAGCGTACTCATGGTGCGTAGTTAGTATTTGTAACTAAATGAATGTGAAACAAGCGCCTTGCAGGCGCTGTGCCGGCGCAAGGTGTGTGTTTCACAAGAGGAAGTAAGTATTTAGATTTTTGCGACACCTTCCGGCCGCCGCCCAGATTTTAACAGGTAGCCACCGTTTATAGTAATTAACTTTAGTCTTATGGTTAAACACTTTTATGTTGTGGTTTTAGATATTCGATAATCCTTTCTGTAAGTTTTAATAAATGTAGTGAGCAAGTGCATAAGATACTCATTTGGTGAAAGAGTTATACATAATTGTCATTTTAGTAATGTTTGCCATAAAAGTAGTTGCCGGCTGGCACTTGGCAGTCGATCTAATTCCACACTACCCCAGTATGTTGTATAACCAACCAGCTTCCTGCGCTACATATTATAGACATTTATTGCGCAGTGGTTATACGCTAGGCCCTAACTTGTAGACAGAAAATAAATAGTCCAATAACTGTTTATTCAACATAGATTAACAGTTCACTGTAAAATTTGTTCAATAAATTTCCTAACAGTGCCTATTTACGATATTAAACTTTAGAAGTAGGACAAATAACAATTTAAAAAGGAAAAATACATATATAACTGCCTAGAATTGCTTTAAGATTTGTAAAGATGTAAATATTCAATAGACGCCTAAACCGGGTGTTGGGTTGGATATCAAATAATTCGAATCCTAACTTGATATAGTGCATTTAACCTTGAAACCTTTAACCAGGTATTGATTCCCGTTAAGTCAAGTAAGTATATTGAATCATTCAAATATTGTACATGATAATAATTAACCATTGAAGATTTAAAACAGAGCAAAAGTAAAGGCCCAAGATTATATCATGACAACGATAAAGTACTTGGCAACTCGCACGGACCCACTCGCAGACTGTTATAAATAGTGAGCATATTGTTGGAGTTTACGCCTTAAGAAACGATTTGAGTTATAAGGCCCGGTACGGAAATTTTATGAGGAGTAAAATCAAGTGTAACACGAAAAGTTGAGGCGTTATGTGTAACACGAAAAGTTGAGGCGTTATGTAGAAAGAGACAAACATATATATCTGTAGGATTGAACGTGTAAAAGAATGAGATGGAATACATTACACAGACTTTTCTATTTTAAATTCACGTTTTGACAGCCACGTTACAACATTGTCAGTGTTGACAGGTGTAAAAAATAAAAGTAGATTGTCTAGCGTGCCATAGAGTTTTGTCAATAGTAATAGTCAGTGAAATTAAAACTAAAAAGATTGTTCATTCTTATTATTCTCTTACTATAAAGGTAACTTTGGTCACAGAAAGAAAATCCTATTTGGGCATAGATGATGTAGGTACGTTTTATTACTACTACAAACATTTATATTATAAAAACATATATTCTTACCACCTTTAGTATGAAAATATGGTCGAGAGCCACAGAACATTATCGCCATTTTATCGTTCGTAAGGAGTAAACTCCAATCGTGCGTCGTAGCTGACACACACACACTTTTTTTAGCATATTACATTTACCAACAAGAATAACTTAACAAAAGTCAAATACTAAAAATATATACATAAATATAAATTAAGATCTAAAAGTAGCCAATGTAATATTAAAGCATTTTCGGGGAGTTGGAAAACAAATCAACAGTTTCGTAAAGCTTACAAAGTCATAATACAGTCGAAGCATTCTTTTCAACTTTTCTTTTTAATTAAATGCGTGTATAGAGAGCAGCACCAAAGATTTATACAGTGTAATTTCCATATAAGAATTTTTGAATTGTTATGATATCCGTAAGATAAGGCGTAGTAGCTGATTAAATTTTACTACTCACTTATTCGTCGATGAAGAATACTATGGGTCCCGTCCCGTCCGTAAAATGATATAGATGAGAAACACAATTGTATTTTTGAAGTTATACTTCTTTAGGCGCGTTATGAAAAATTTATGAGAGTGAAATTTTACGATGCGCGCGCACCGTGACACAAAATTAGGAGTGTGATTATAGCGTGCGCGAGCGAGATAGGAATAAGACAATCTACAAGTAAAAAGAAATAGAATATGCGTGAAGTTCGTATGCCAACAATTTTGAATGACCATAATGACATTTGTCATTTACCTTTTAAACAAATAAAGGAGTTTTAATTATTTTTTCAAAGAAATTTAGCAATGCTTTTTGAATTATATATAATCAGAAGTGATTTAAATTGAATATTTAAACCAATACTAATTAATATTTGTGAAAAAACTGTGCTCATCAACCTTCCTAAGTGCTTCATTAGTCATTACAATTGAGGTTGACTATCAGTTTGTATTATTATTATCGAGTAATGTTTTGATTAAAAAAATTACCACATTGTTTAAAACATGTAATTTTTCTCTAGCAAATATAAGGACAAGAGACAAAAAACAATTGATGAATCAGTGTAAGTGCACTAAATTGAATACAAAAAAAGAGTTGTCATCTTATCGCTGTGAAACATCAAAAACTGGAGGTGGAACAAAGCCAAACTATTTTTAATAATGCCAAAGAAGTATAACTTCTTACGCGCGTACATAAGTACACGCACCCTTATTTATTTTTTTTTTCACATAACATTTATCATAAGTGTTTGACACACCACGATTGTGGAATGTCGTTAGTCGGTCATTAAACTTATAGATCCGCGATATCGGTATCAATTTCTTACCGCAAAAGCCCCATTAGCAATATAAACGAATATACCGACTTATTTTATTTATTCTTAAAGTTAAAAAGATCAAATATTGTAGAAAATTTTAAAAAAGGGAACTTTTGTATGAATAAAGTATGGAAATATAATTAATCCATACAGAGAACACAATATGAACTTCAATGAAAAAGACTACTCGCCGGTATGGTCATAGTGGAGATGATGAATCGACGGAATACTAAATAAATAAAGGAACGCTTAGCCACATTTTTAACTCGGGTCGTAATGTCGCCAAACAGAAAGCTTGCGAATAGATATCGACGTAAGGAGGCTATATTTGTACGAGAAACCCTCAATTATGAAAAATATCGAACTGCGAATTAGGATGATGTAATAACGGTATTCAAACAATTCTGATTTTATCCTGTTATTTTTTTTTATTTAAAGAACAACATTTTATATTACTTTTTATGTATAATATAATATATATTCTACATATCTACTTTGTATGTTTTATTCAAGTTTTTTATTTTTTTTATCATCAATGTAGGCCAATCAGATTAGAGTATGGCTATATCTAATTTGTATTTATAATATACTAGCCGTTTCGCGCCCGCTTTGCTGGACGAATTAAAATAAATTTTATGTTTCATTATTTTATTTTTTTTCATATTTTTATTATTCTTCTTTTTAACTTCCCGCTAAGAAAATTGAAATATTTCGAAAATCGAGTTTTTAACAGATGTTGACGTTTAGAGGTTCTAGGAAGCCTCCCCGAATGTTTCCGCGGTGAAGTCCGTATGGATAAATTTTCATAAAAGTAAAACAGCAATATGAAGGAACGGAATTTAATAAATAAATAGCCATAAACCATCTAGGAAAAATTCGCATCGAATGGTGGTAGTTTCATGTCGATACGATCAGTGGTTTAGGCGTGAAGGAGCCTCAAACGAAGACCATTTTTCTTTTATATATATATAGATTTATGTTAAAACATCTGTAGAAATGGAACACAAAAATCACAATAACATTGTAAAAAAATCAGTAACAATGACTAATAATGAGAAAATCATCTCAAAGCATAGTGGTGTATAAAGCATTTCATGTTAGTGATTCTAATCTTAGATCACAAATGATAAATGAACTTCTCGAATACTGCTTTTGTGAATGCATTCTACATTATAGTTGTTATCCTTTTTTTGCATATTAACACTTATGTGCCACACCCAAGGGTTGAAGAGCATGAGTGTTGGGGTCTGCTGAAATAAAACAAAAAAGGTAAGTTCTTGGAAATTATTACTTTTTTATAGCTATAGCTAAATTTATAACCCAAAAAGCGCTACAACGCCAGAGGTCATTAACCCTCAGGTTTATACGAGTAAACAATATTTGTCTAATTAAATCTTATATAATATTCCAAACTCGTTATAACTCGTTTCCTTAAAATTTATGTTTTTTTTATAAGTTCTATCTCTATATATAAGTAGCCAAGAGTCCTCACCTCATAACATTCGGTCAGGTCACACGGTCGGCGTCGACAATTTAATATCACTTGGCAAAATGAAATTTGCAGTAAGTTGCTAATAGATGTTCATAAGGCATTATAAATCTCTCCTTTTCATTTTACATCTACATAACTTAAACCAATTCTGTTATTATATAAATTATACAAACAATGTAAAATATCTTAAAAAATGTGTGAAATCTTTAGATCGCTATTTTTGCTCTCTGCACGGCGGTGGTGGCGGCGTCGCCCGCGCGTTCCACGCGCCACTACGAACCAGGTCTGCTGCAGTCTACCTCTCTTCAGAGCAGCTCGCTGCAGCAGACGCAGTATGAATCCACGTCACTAGAACAAAAGACCTACCAGCCACAGCAGCCACTATACAATATACAGCCTACTCCCATGGTAAGAATATGTTTTTTCCTCATTATCAAAAATCGCGAAACACGTTATGCAAAACTTACTTATTCTTCACCTAAGTATTATATATCTACAGTCTACATTGAAATACTTGTAGGTCCAGTTTAAACATCTCATTTGCATAGAAATTACATATACATATATATGTATTAGAAATACCAACGGCTCAATAAGATTTATTTATTGCAAAAAACAATATTTGTGATTTTAGGCCGTTTTGGTACCCAGTTCATTTGTAAAAACGCTATAAGCGTCTGAATCAAGCATTATTTATTTTTAAGCATATTGGTTTACAATGATCATAAGAGAACCTTTTTTTAATTCCGTTACAGTGGCAAGTGCGTCCTGTGATACCCCTGAACCAGAATAAAGTATACTCGGGACCCCAATACACGGCTCAAGCGCCATTTTACACTGAGCAGCTGCCTGCAGTACAAAACATTCAATATACACAACAACACAGACCTATCCAGCAATACAATTCAGTGCAACAGTACAGTCCCATTCAACAATACACTCCCAGTAATCAGTACACTTTACCACAACAGTATACACCTGTCCAACAGTACACACCTGTCCAACAGCACTCACACCAGTACACACCCGTACAACACACTCCTATTCAGCTGTACAGGCCCCTCCAAGAATACAGACAGGTGCAGCCCATCCAGAGTTATGTTCCTCACAATTATGGAAGCTACCAACGTATGGAGTCCTGGTGTTAATATATCGTAATAGTATATAAATTGCAGTAAAAATAATGTACTACCATAAAGGAATGTATGAGACTGAAAAAGAAATTAAAGTGCACTATTGCTTACAATTATAGTAAAAACCCAAGTACTTGTAGTTTCAATATTACAGAAGACCTCGTAAACGAACTACAACTTCGATAAGCAATTTTCTACATTTTTTTTACTTTAAAGTAAACATAAACTTTGAATTCCTTAAGACCACGCAGATTTCTAACAAGTTAAATACGCGGAGACTAAAAGAATAACAATTGTTTAGACATTGACAACGCTTGAGAATAATATTAATCTAGTCAGTAGCATCTCATTTGAATAGGAGCCTGACCACCTCGTCGCATTGGCTTAAGAGAAATGGGTATGGCCTTAAATTTCTTAAAGTTGGAGATGACGGTTTCTTTCAAGGCGTGGGACTGGACTTTTTTTGTCAAGCATTTATAGCTATATAAATAGAGCCAAAAGTCTTCATCAAGATCTTGTTCTTTTTCATACCCAAGTGACTGTGTATAATATTAAAGCTCTCTGCTTGCTATAAAACAAACAGTAGCACGACGATCCTCAAAAAAAATATTTTTCCCTTTTTTAATCTTTTGTTCAGTCACTACCGCGTCCCGTGTTGTGGTTGTCGATAACGGAAGTTCTTCCTCGCTTGAACTCTAGACACCTCTGCACACCAACACGCAACCGTAGAATATGGAGGAGCATCAGCCGTGAATCCCTAGTGTTGCTCTCAAGTCTTTTTTAGTTTTATTTCCATTTTTAAGACCATTTTCCTACACGACTTAAACCAATGGCTTCTCTTTTTAAATAAAATAAGAGAATTGTTGGGTTTTTTTACTATCTTAATATATATAAATCACGTGTCACGTTGTTTGTCCGCGATGGACTCCTAAACTACTTAACCGATTTTAAATTAAATTTGCACACCGTGTGCAGTTTGATCTAACTTAAAAGATAGGATTGTTTACATTTCAATTTATATCCGCAATATTATTGTATTACAAAATATTTGTTTATTATTTGATAGTCACAATTCTAACAGATGGCGCTGCGTTGAAAGTACCCACGTTTCACATAAGCTACAATTTAATGGCATAACCACCAAAAAAGCATGGTGGTCCCCATGACTGGTGTTCTCCTACCGTTTCCCTTGAATAGTTTGCTACTATGTAATATAACAAAAATCTTAGCCACAGCAACGCTTGGCCGGTCTGCTAGTTATTATATATATTACATGGGCTATGCCCGCGTATGCGCATTATCACTATTTATTAGACATCCCTCATAAAATGCATCTTAAGATTTTATAAAATATTTTTAACCGGATTGAAGTTATGCCTTTACAATTATTTTACATAATTTTAAATTTAACCGACGTTTCGCGTGCTTTACAGCGTGCGTGGTCACGGTGACTCTGATAATTGTAAATACATATAACTTCAATCCGGTTAAAAATTGTTTTATTAAATGTGTATAAGTTATGTCAATAAAAGACAATACTATGTGCATCTTAAGATGTTCGAGCGTCAGATATAAAAAAATAATATTTTACTTGGACTAATTATAAAAATACTTTTGTTAAACCCATATAATTTGAAAATTGATGATTGAATTATATTAACTGATAATATTTACTGTATATAATAATATGATGACATTATTTATTGAGAATTGTATATATGTATATGTAGTAATTATTTAATCAAAAGAAAATACTATCGCTCTTATCTTTATCATACTAAAGATCTGGTATATAGGCAAGCGGCTTGGGTTACTTCGGACCAGCTAGTGCCATAGGGGCTACAAGAGGTGAGGTGGATATTACACACAATAATTGTATTTATTACTAGCAATTAAATTTTTAAAATAAATAAATATATATTATCATAAGTCTATATTTTCTATATAACCGAGTCCTCTTTCTCTCAACAAAAAGGATAAAATAAATATATGTATATATAATATATGTACATATATATATATTTCAAATGCTACAAGTAATATTGCTAATTTATTAAATTTCATTTAATAAAAAGAAAAGAAAATGGTTCAAAATACGGTATACATAACATATTCTTCTTATAGCTAACAAGTTCAAATTCATTGAAACTTGTCAAACTCATCGCTAATCTTAAATACGAGTATAAAAGTAAAATCACTCGCTGCTGAACCCATTTAATAAATGCAAGGTTATTATAAAATACAATTTTATATCTTAAAAGTCACATTGACAAGGTAAAAATAAATACAAAATTATTTATTATTGTTAAAATGAATTATTGCGCATAGATTAACCGGATTGATTGTGATAAAAAATCAAGGAATTGAGACGATGCGTAGTTGGGACGTGGGGATAATTTATTTTAATTGTTCTCAACGTTTTGATAAAATATTCAAAAAATTAACGTATCAGAAATTGTTCAAGGTATTGAATTATATTGCAGCATTTGACAAAATAGTGTGACCGTGGAATACATTATATGGTATTTTAAGTATCTGACTGATAATTTGTTTCCAAATTGATCTATGGTGACGGCTGTTCTTCGATGAAGCAAGCAGGTGTTTAGCATGTATCGTCATTATCATTTCGTTAATATAATATTTTAGTTCATATGAATAAATAAGTAGTCTTATGAAATTTAAAATAAATTATGTATCTATGGAGATGCTCAATACTTCGGAGGACGATGTCACAATACTTGGCTATATATGGCTAGAGGGCCCCGTGACACACCATAACGAGTTGACCACGGGCACTCTTGACACCATGAACTCTTTTGTAAGTACCGTCGTCACAAAGTACTGATAGTAGATAGATAATTTGATAATTAATTATGGATATTAACGTGTTTACAGATTTGCATTTTGGTCGTGGCCAGTTCGGCTCTGTCTCATGCAGGAAACGTGCGCGAGAAGCGCGGTTTCTTACACGGACATTCGCACGCCTCCGATGGCTATAGTTATCCCGCGCCATCTACTAGTTACACAGCTCCCAGTCTTGCCTCATCCGTCGTTCCAAACTATTCAGCCCCTGCTGTCGACTTCTTATCCCCTTCCGAAACCTACGCACCCGCTGTATCAACCATATCCGCACCAGATTTAAGTTTTTCCGTGCCTATTAGTCACACTTCTAATTACGCACCCATCCATTCGAGTAGCTTCGTGCCTTCAGCTGGCTACGGCTCCCTTTCTAATTTTGGTTCTTCTTCGCCTGTTGTCAGCTATGCACCTTCTTCTCACAGCTTTGCCAAACCAGCTGTCAGTTATGGGGCTCCATCGGTTAGCTACGCAGCGCCATCACCTAGCTATTCAGCCTCGCCGGCTGGTTATGCTGCTCCCGCCATCAATTACGCGTCACCACCAATTAACTTCGCTTCTCCCTCGATTAGTTTTGCACAGAGCTATGCTCCTGTGTATTCGGCACCCGCTACCCGCGTGGTGACTGTCAACAAGGTGGTAAACGTAAAAAAGGTTGTGACCGTGCCTCAAGTGGTCAACGTGGAGAAAATAATTAGCGTACCAAAAGTGATCCAAATAAAGAAAGTAGTACCTGTTTCTTCTGGCTGCTCCAAGTGCAAGGCCTCACACGGCTCCGGATATGCGGCCAGCTACAACAGTGGTGGGTGGTAATCAACACAACACCTTAGTTTAATAATTTACAATATGTTATAAGTTATTTCAAATAGAAGATTTTGTACCATTTGGAATTTTATTCAAGAAGACGCCGATTACTGCACTTTCTCGAAGTCAGTCAGTGGCTATCGTCTTCAAATCCCCGTAGTTGTATATTATCAGGTCTGCGACTACCTTTCAGCATAATAAAAAACTAATTTTTATTTTATAATTTAACGAAACAACATCCTGTTATTTGAGTAGAAGCCATCTGACGAAACAAGTCCGATAAGTGCGGTGTGCGATTTGTATTTTGTATTCAGAGTTAAACCCATAAAACTTTCGATGTGACGATCTGATACTTCTTATTCTCAAAACTGGAACATTTATGCAGTTAAAAAAAATCCTATGTGTTGAATCTCAAATCAAATTTACAATGATTATAAAAAATATTTGCTTTACTTTATTAAAAGGTTTTTTGTCGCATGAGATGAATTGGTCTCAAATTATATAATATTTGCTGGTCGTTTCGTGTTTGTCCGAAAAAAATACCTTTTATCTAAATTCACCTGTCACGATTAAGGTTTATTTATGTATATCCCAATTTATTACTTGTAGTCACAAAAAACATAAGACAAATCATTGGATTTTCATTCTAAATAATTGAACATCGTCTAGTCAAGTCATAAAATCTGATAAAAGCCAAGAGGCTGATTGCAGATGGGTGAAAGAAAAGAAAAATAATTAAAAAACGAAACATCTTTTAGTTATGATTGTATTTCAATTTATATTTCCTCTGTAATATTTAATTTGATATTTTTATGGTATTTATATGTGACATATAATAAATAATACGCATAAACTAACGGAGCAGTCGTTCGTGTATGACCTACCTTTTGTAAAGCGCGATGCGCGGCCTTCAGCTGATGTGCTCGACCTTAGGAGCAACGATATTCATTTTAGGCCCCACCGTTCACTTTATAGTTCCTTTTTATAAGTGTCTCGAATGGTAAACAAATATAAAAACAAACTCTGGAAATTTAGATATACACACATATGATATATCTATACCTACATATATAATTTTAGATATATAGATATAGACACTAAAAAAACAACATTTTAAAATCGACTAAACAACAGATCTCAAAATCACAAATTGAACATATTGACATTGACATACATCTTTTATTATTATAATACTTGGGTCAACAAATAAATTGATTGTTTATATCCTATCCTATGCTTAAATTTAGATGAAAACTTAGGAACGTTATTTTAATGAAGAAATAAATAAATTTGGGCTATATTTAAAATTAAATTCGCTTATGATAATTATTATATTAAAATAAATTGGCTATATTATTGATAGATGTGTCTTGGATTGTGATGCGTTAGATTTGGTTCTTGAATCTTTTCTTTGGACAAATTTTTAATCCCAATGTAGTTTAAATGTTCTGTCGTGATTTCCAACAATAACATCAACACCACAGAACATAAGATCTTTTAGTAAAGATAATAATAGCACAAACTAAAAAGTAGCGGAACTTAATGTATATGTTATAAGTTAATAAGTGACACGTAGTAGAAATACCTATCACTATTTAGTTAATATTTTCCATAATGGTAAAAAGTGTGGAACTATACTGAGAATATAATTTAAAAAATCCCCGACTCATTAATGAATAAGTACATATGTGTGTATATAATATGTTTGTACTCAATAGCTATTAATATAGCTAATATAATAATAATATAGATAATATTAATACATTAAATTAACTTCGATCTGATTTCGTATAAGGGAAACACAAAATACGGTACAAATTACGTTAAGTCACTCATACACAATTTTCGTTCGTTCGCTGTTTTATTATTTATGCTTAATGACATACAGCCCTAATTTCAGTGTTAAGATTGTATGTGGCCATTATTGCTTACCTTTTCAATCCAACAATCTATATAATAAAATGATTGCATTTTTTTTAACCATTTTGATACAAAGAATTTTCGTAGTTAAATAAAATAGTTCAACCCTAGTTCAACAAATAAGGCCACAGAGATTATGGTTAATTCTTTTAATCCGTATGTATAGTTAACATAAACGCTCTAATTTATATTAAGCATTATATAAACATATGCTATTAATTTTACAGATATATTTTAATTTTAAGCCGATTGACAAATAATACTCAAGTGAATGTGACGATACACTGTTTATATCAAGTGTACTGATTACAAACAAAATTAAGAACAGTGTTTCGTAAAACGTAAAAGTGTATCGAAAGGACACCCAGTTTTGCCCAATCTAAGAGAATTAAACGCACCGCGAGGATATGTGAGGAAACTAGTCCCACCCACTAACCCACGAGGCAAGCCCAAATCTATGTCTATTGCCTTCAATTTCATCTCAGGAAATCTCAGTATCTCACAACTAAACAGGATACATAGGTACTAAAACTAACCTTAGTAGGTACACAAAGTTACATTTAAGTATACTCAGGGCCGTCTTAAACTAGGCTGGGGCCATTGGGCACACAAGAATTTGGGGCCCTTTGGGAAAGTAAAAAAAATTACTAAGTATGACCATTTATTATAGGTCATCAAATACTGTATGATATATTATGTCATTAATGATATTAGAATGCTGCTGGTTTTTTGGTTACAATTACGATAACGGTTTCTTTCGAGATGTTCTGATAACTTTTTTGATTACTGATTTGTGAAAAAAGTGTAATGTGCCCGACAAAACTGTGGGAGAGAAATTGTCCGTCCTTCGGGGCCCCCTGAGAATGGGGGCCCTGGGCACGGGCCCCGTGTGCCCTTATGGTAAAGACGGTATTGACTGTATACTTAATGGTAACACATGTTTAAATAACTCCCTAGCAAATACGTGTCAGTATTATTTTACAACAAAACATATTAAAACTAAAACTGACCATTACAGTCACATTTAAAAAAAACTTATTCTATGAAGGTTTCATACCAAGTGTTTAGTTTTATAATATATCCCAAGAGATGGCACTCATTTACAAGGGGAGAAGAAATCCAATGTTTCCAGTTGCAAATGCTTATTAGTCCCTTACTTCACAATTTTTTTCTAGTGAAAAGACTTCTTCAAATTGAGACTAACTAAAGTAATCCATTGCACGGCAAGATATCGTAACTCTGTTGTTAAAAATCCTTCGCTATGCAACCTTTCTCAATTTGTAACATGTAAATATTATAAAATGCTAAAAGAATTAAACAAGGATAAATAAATATAACGGAATTATTTAATGATTGTAGTGCGAGGACGCAGTTGCGTCAGCGCCGTTTTGCGGACTATATTTACGTCTGCACTCCGTTGCTTTTCACACATCGTCCACCAACAGCTTACAACCAACTACCTACATTCAGACATCATGAAAGCCTTTGTAAGTAAAGCCTTTAGCTAAGTAGATTTTATTAATTTTTTAATATAATGTTTTTTTAAACTCAGATCTTATTTTATGTTATCTTATATTTCTATATAAGATAGGTTCTTTCTATGATCTTTTATGCATACAAATATTAAAATTACCATTTCTCAATATTGATGATAAAATAATGAAATATGATTATTGTTGCCTATATATCGAATCATTATAAACATGGTAGAACAATTAAAAAAAATTTAAAACGCCTGACGTAAAATTTAGGCAAATTTGGCGTTCACACTTTGTGCGTACATTTTTTATTAATTGAATGATGCATACTCGTGAAACGTTGGGATTTAACAAATGCCTTTACTACAGATCACTTTGTGTGCCGTCATCGCTTGCGCCGTCGCCGGAGACGTTCGCGATAAGCGCAGCTACCTCAGCAGCGGGTGGAGCGGTACCAGTGGTGGATGGAGTGGTTACAGCTCATTGGGCAGCCACGGAAACTATGGCAGCTACGGAGGGCTGAGTGGCTATGGGGGCTACAGTGGTCTGAGTGGATACTCAGCCGGGCATGTCGCACCCGCCGCACGTCTCGTCACCGTAAACAAAGTTGTGAATACCCAACGCGTAGTTAATGTGCCACAGGTGGTCAGCGTACCCAAAGTGGTATCAGTGCCTCAAGTTGTCTCCGTTAACAAAGTGGTCGCTGCGCCAAGTCACTCCATCAGCGGCTATGGTTCTGGATATAGTTCTGGATATGGTTCTGGATACGGTTCTGGATACGGTTCTGGATACGGTTCTGGATACGGTTCTGGATACGGATCTGGATATGGTTCTAGCTACGGCTATGGCTCTGGATACTCTGGACATGGTTCCAGGTACTCAAGTGGATGGTGGTGATTTAGTTTAAGTGTTCTGTGATCTTTTTAGCTATATCTTCTTTTATATTTTGCTGTATTGTTTGATCTTTGTTATTATACTTTTTATTATACTGAAGACTTTTATTTTCTACATTTTGAAAAGAGCCACACCACCTAAACATCGCATTCTTTAATGTCCAAATTCATAACCATAAGATTTTATTAACATCACAACACAAAACAGGAGAAAAGTAAAATAAATGAAGACAAATGATCTAAATGACAGGTCATACTGCTAAAAGCAGTTTCCAAAAATAAATAGTGTTTATTTTTTAATCTTTTTATGTAAATGTGATTTAGCATTTTTAATATGACAAGAAAAAATATTTAATTTATTCATATATAATTATTAGAATAACATAATATTTAGACTGTTCACATTACAGTTGAAGTAAATGTGAAGTTTCGTGATTTCGATAGTCAACAGCTGTTCGCGCATTAAACTCTTCTATATGCAAAACAAGAGACTATTACGCCCGTCGTTTACTAATTTCGAATTCACAATAATTCGTGCTCTCTGAATGACCTTTTCTTTTGCCCATTTATGGTTGTATGCTCCATTTGTTGTGTCTAGCTACCTATGAGGCGAACAGTATACATCTACTTCATACTTTTAACATATTATTAGAATACAGGCAGAGGTATTAAAGGAAGAATATTTGCAATGTTCAACATTTACAAAATCTGAAAATTATTTTAGTTTTCATTATTCTGATTTTTTATCTTGCAAGAAAGATATATTTATGTATAAAATGCATATAGATATCTTGAGAACCGTATTTCTGGGCAAGAAGCATTCATATATCTAAGTCAAGGGCACAATCAGTTCACAAAGGTAGGAAGACGTACGTAGTTGGTGATATAACTGATATAGTAATATATTAATTACAAAAAATATCATTCGATTAGTTGCAGTTGAGAAACACTCGGAGCTGAAGGCTATCCGCGATGCGTAATTTTTATTAAGATTGCTAAATTAAAATATAGTACTTTCAAAACTAAAGTAAACAAATTAAACCTATCCTTAATTTATAACCTAAAACTTACCACGAAAGTAATACGAGCAAAACTTCGATATTTCAAGCTTTACCATTTGTTTATGTTTATACAGATACAAGCTATCGTAGTAGAAGACAGTTTATCAAGACGGCAAATTGAGCACCTCATATGAGTTAGAAAGAAACGGTCACAGAAATAAAAAAATCTTCACCAAATCATTAATAAACCAATATGTGCAATATGTCGCACATATTATCATTGTCTAAACCAAAAGAGATTTAAGTATACTTATAATGCCGTGACTGCATCGTTAATTTATGATCTTATTAAAAAAAATTATTATAAAATTATAAAATATAAAATTAATGTGTGTTGATTAGCAAATTTAAACACAAAACTTTACTTTGAGTAACATTGAATTAAATTATTACTATTACACTATATAATATTAATTTAATAACGTTATAATGTAATGGTAACAATATTAATAAAATTAAACTTATAAACATAAACTAATAATAATAAAATAATATACATTGAAATAAATAACGAAACTTAACATAAACTAAAATATATCATTAAAAGGAGTCCCTTTAGGCAAGGTTCCGAAGATACTGGCAGCGTTCCCCCTTTGAATTGCTAGACTAATTCTTTGTCCGAGGTAGCTGCCAGATCTTCGGTCTCCTGTGATGTCGACTAACCTTTTTGAAATTTCTTTAAAAAGCCTTAAAACGCTAGGACCCCACGGACCAAGGGTCTCGACACCGAATGGGACAAAATCATATTCAGAGCCCAGACCCCTGTATTTGCCTGCTTTATTTTTTTCAGCCGCTTCACAAGCCGCACCAGCTCTGTAGTTGGTTCCATGTAGATGGGAAGGGGCCAGCGTGTCTGAACAGGTTGCATCCCATACCAGTACCCGACCCATCTTCCATGGAATCAAACTCATACCGTCCGGTCTCTTGCCATCGTCTCTTGCAATACCACTTGGCTCAAGAAGACTTGGCACGTTGACGGTGGCAAGGGAACGGCGTATGATATCGTTAAGTGCGGCATGTCTCGAGAAGCGGCCTGCACTTTTTTGGCATGACAGGCCGTGATGTCCTAACTTGTCGACATCACTGCCACAGGGACATATATGAGGAGCGCAGACCGGAACCCCAAGCCGTAGACAGGTTGCGATTCGAAGCGTGTCAGGCTCAAGAAAAGTTCCTGTATTTGACGATGGGTAAGCGTGAAGCCAGTAGCCGGCCTCATGCGTGCCCACGGCCAAAAGCCTAGCACGCGCCGAACCCGTACTACGACTCAAAAGATCGTCAAAAGTCAACTTGCAGTGTATGTCATCCCAGCTCCTCTGTGAATTTAGAGATAATGGAAAATTTTGACCTGGGCATGCAATCAAGAAAGCGTTTCTAGCTTCTTCCAAGCCAGCAATCTCAAAGTTTGAAGGGGATGCCCTTAAAATTTTACTTATGAGATTTGCTGAACTATGGACAGAAGATAGAAAGGCTGGTAAAGCGACACTGGAAATTTTGCGAATCCCTAAACCACCATAACGGATGGGTAGGGAAGCTTGGGTCCAAGATTTCTCGTTCAGCTGCATATTAAGAAGTGATTCTAAGCTAATTTTGATTAAGTCGTCTAATGGTGTTAAAATATCTGGGTGATTCCAAAAGGAGCAGCAACGGAGCACATACGTAAATTTTGGGAGGAAAAGACAAAATTTTAAGATGCAAAGTGCATAATGTGGACTAATTTCAAGGAGACGGTCAGCAGAATTTTGAAATTTAGTAATTGAAGTATGAATATAATCAGAAATAGATTCATTAAAAATTGGAGAACCTAAAAGGTAATGGGAATTCCTGTTAACTATTTTAATATTTGGAGCCAAAATTTGAAATTTTTTTTTACATCATTTAAATTTAAGTCGCAGTTATTTATGAAAAGTTCGCATTTGTTAAAATTAAGTTCCAAACCAATGGCTTCAAATTTATTTTTGATTAAAAGAAGGTCCGAAAACACAGTATCCACATCACCTCCTAGGGTTCCGTCGTCCAAATATCAAACATTGAAATTAGAATTTAAATTTTTGATTATGGGATTTATAGCCAAACTAAAAATTGCAGGCCCAAGGGGATCACCCTGTTGACAACCTACTTCCGAGGAAAGTTCATTAGAACGATATAACAATTTAGTTGGATCAGCGTAACTGAGAAGAAGATAATTGTATATTTCCGGTATATGTTGTTTTATTTCAGTCAGCAGGGTATCCCTATTTACCGAATTAAATGCATTTTTCACATCAATTTTGAGCAACACGTCTGGCTGTCCGTGACTTAGGAAAGAGCGTAGGGCATGGACGGCTGCCTCACACCCTCCTTTCACACCGAAGCCTAACTGTACAGGTTCAAATTCTGAATTTAATTTTGGTAAAATATGTCGAACAGCAATTTTGGAAGCCAGACGTCTTAGTGTTGAACCAACAGCAATTGGTCTCACCCCTCCGTCCTTTTTAGTGAGGGCAATGAGGTTCGCGCCGAAAAGAATGGGAACAATTTCTGTATTGACATCCCCGGAATACATAAAATTTATTAATTTTGTGATCGAGTTAATAAGTTGCTCGCCTGCATCACCCACAGAATGCGATGTTAAATCTTTCAAATGTTGGGGTGAGATTCCATCCAATCCTGCTGCCGAACCTGGTTTAAAAGATAAAATTGAATTAAATTATAACTATTACACTATTATGTAAATATCTCGCAAAAAAACTAGTTTTAAGATTTATTATAACTGATTGCACATAAAATGTAGATCTTTGTCGTAAAGCGCGCGTGCACTGCTAGCATTGCAAACATGTTGTATTCTGAGCTATTTATAACAAACTCCTCTGAACACTCTCCATGGTAAATGCGGTAGAAGATGCAGAGTGACCCCACATCTTTACGCAACACCAAGGGATCAAGCCGCTCAGAAAGGGATTGCTCGTCTACAATTCGAACCACTCTTCGTTGAATCCAGTCAAGTGGATGGAGCTGGTACTGGGGAGTACCAGCCCGTCCAGAGGTGAGAACAGTACTCCGTGTGGGGCCGAATTTGCGCTTTATAGAGTTGCAAGCGGTGGCTCAGAATTAAGCACCGTCTTGATTTGCTGAGCACTCCAAGCTTTTTGGGGGCTAATTTAGTCTTTCCCTACAAATGACCGCGAAACTGAAAGTCGTTCGATATATCAACGCCAAATATTCCGATGCTGGCTTTTGCTTTAAGAAGAGTGTCTTCGAAATGAGCAGTAGCACCGAAGGGTGTTTTGGCATAAGTCACCACAGCACATTATAAGCCGCTCCATGATATATACACTAACATAATCAAAAACTATTTAACGCTTCCATTAACACTTATCGCGCAGAAGCCATTGGAAAGTAGGCATTACCGTCGTACACAACGCCCGTCGGTCATCCAGCAGGCAGCTATCACATGTCCACAATTACCTCACGCAGTGGCCAGCAGCTACAATTACAACTTACAGAGTTGCTAAATGTTTGTTAATTATAACAATCGCTGGAATTGCCTGATTTTATTATAGTAGTACTATAAGAGATGATTTAGCTTTCATATACATTATTATACCTACTTCATTAGTAGTGTGTTTGCGATACACAAACATATTGAATGCGACGCTCCAATGATTATGTGAAAATGGCACATTCACATCCGACAGGTAGACAAACGGCGGTTCCGGAATATTACCGTCCACATGCGATATGTCAGCAGTGCTTATTGATAAACTGATTAAACTGAATATATTCTTATAATAATAATGCCTTGGGACATCCATGGAGCTGCAAGTGATAAACGCAATTATAAATGCAACCAGTTTTCAATCGTATCAAAACATGCGACGCACTACAAGACTGCACCAACCCCAACATCATCTCAAAGAGGTTGATTCTTAAGCCGTTATATCTTTCAGTAATCTTTTATAATCAAAGGGAGACATCGCTTTAAATATGTACTCGTAGTGTTACGCAACATCGGGCGGGCGGGCGGAGGCCTCTAGGCTCTCCTATTGCGGATTACGACACCGAGGCGCCGTAAGTATAAAACAGTTGCGCTCACCCCACAACTGTATCACATCACTGTGTCCTCTGTTCCTCTCATCTCCTAATAGACAAACAAACAAATCAACATGAAGGCCTATGTAAGTAGAATTTTTAAAAAATATTAAAGAAAGGATAGGTAGGAAAGTATGCCTTTTCTCAAATAAACTGTAAAATAAGTTTTAACCGGTAAAACTTTATTGATTTATTTGTTTTATTTGAACTTGCAGATGTGTGTGGTTCTTTTCGCCGCTGCCGTCTTGGCCGCGCCCGAGGGAAAGCGCGACAAACGCGGCTACCTTCATGGGGACCTGCATCACTCCCTGGATTTCGGCCACAGCTTTGACTCCGTGCATTTGCATAGTGCCCCCATCATTCACAGCGCGCCTGCCGCTAGGATCATCTCCGTCAATAAAGTGGTGGAGGTGCCACGAGTGAGTATCAATGACATCAAATGCTCTTCACTTTAATCAAATTTAAATAAACGACTGAGAGCTCCCACGAGTTTAAAAAAGTATTAAATACACGTAAAATGTGTGTGTCAAATATTTTTATGAAATAACAACACTTCGTGTATTTGCTTATCTTTCGAAGGTGGTCGAAGTGAAGAAAATCGTCTCAGTCCCCAAAGTTGTGTCAGTGCCAGAAATCGTGAGAGTGAACAAGATCGTCGAGGAGCCACACTTCCACTTGGGTTCTTCCCACTACTCCCTGGGTTCTTCTTACTCTTCCGGATGGTGGTAATCTGCCAGTGCCTCTAGTCAACCTTAATCTACGTAGTTAATTAAAACGCCATCAACTTTCTTTAAATCAAAGCGCCGTGTCCATTGAAGCCCAACTCTTTTGGGTTGATTTGAGCTTAGCCTGGCTACTTCCGAGGCACTCTGCTACCAAAACTTACTAAGAACTTATTTTAAGAATACACAATTTTTTTAATAACTCGTTTTATTCTACTCAATTATTGTCAATATATGTAAATATTTTACCATCTACCTACAGTACCTATTTAATTTCGTAACCGTTAATTGATTTGCATATATTATAAAGTATATCTCAATGTAAATCTTACATATCTGTCATAGATATCAGTTCCCAATTACGTACGTAAATTATAATCTCCGATTGCGTTAGTAAAATAGATGATTTATTTGCTCACATGCTCGATTGAGATCAAGGTGTCATCGCTACTCTTTACGAATCCGCGAACACAACAAACTGTCGCAACATTATGAGATTAAATTTCGTAAAAAAAAACGAATACAATATGTATTATGGCTTATATTACTTCTCTAATATGAGATTAATATAATTTTAATAAGATAAAATATTGTTTTTATTAAATCTATTATTCTAACAATACATGAGAGAGCCTTATTTGTGACAGGGTTAGTAATCTAACTGAGAAGTAGAAAATAAAATAATAAAAGTACTACATTTCGCTAATGCCGTAAAGAAAGAAATTTATTATGAACCTGAATTTAAATGCAAGATTTCGATTAAAAATTTAGATAAGCAGCAGATGATATATAGAGTGTGGACAGTGATGTATGTATAACGCGATGTACACGGACGGAAATGTTTGGTGATGAGTGACGGTCGTAGATTCCGCTGTCGACCCGCAGTGAGTGGCGTGGAACCCAATTTCTTTAAAAAAAATCAGTGGCGCTACAACCTCTTTAGGTCTTGGCCTCAGATTTCTGAATCTGTTCCATGATCATTTTTAAATCTAATAGGCAAGTAGGTGATCTACCTTCAGTGCCTGACACACGCCGTCGACTTTTTGGGTCTAAGACATGTCGGTTTCCTCACGATGTTTTCCTTCACAGTTGGAGCAAATGTTAAATGCGCACATAGAAAGAAAGTCCATCGGTGCACAGCCGAGGATCGAATACGACCTCAGGTATGCGAGTCGTACGCTGAAGCCATTAGGCCAACACTGCTCTCAATTTCTATATAATTAACGTTTACTCTTATCTACAAATGGACGGGCCCTTTTTGGCCATACGTACAAGGTAAATTATTCAAGAATAGTCGTTTAATAATCTTACGATAGGTATAACAGCAGTAAATGTAAAATTAGAAGCATTTAATGTATATTTCTTTTTTGACTTTCAGTGTGTGTTACCTATATAAATAAATGATTTTGACTTTTTGACTTTTATATTATTTCGATTCGTTAACAATATGCAAAATTTTGTGGCTGCCTGTAATGCGACAGTTTATCACACAGGCCATCACCAAGGGTATTAAAGTAAATTAAATTTAGGTAATAAATATGTGGAACCTTCCTCTTTTGAACGTGTGGCGTTCTTGATTTAATTTTATTCCTGAAACTTGTTAAGTGCATAACGAATGCAGGTAGTGCGCAGTGACATGGGTCGCGGTGACACGCGAACGTCGCGCCTTACACCTGCCGCTTTTTACGTCGCCAGTTGTGATCCTGCCACCGACCAGTGTACATCAGTATAGAGGACGGTCTGCTGCAAAACCACCGCTAGAACATGAGTGTTTTTGTAAGTTGTATTTATTTACTTTGTGATACATTTACATTTGAATTTTCACTATTTGTTCTCTTTACCTTTCATGTACTTTTTAGCAAAACGTAGTGGTGTTGACTCTGTGCGGGCTGATCGCTGCGTTGAGAACGGGTGAGAGATGGCGCGCAGCCGAGAGCTTATACGATCGACAGTATGCTCCAAGACAACGCTATGAGCCCTATCACCTCAGTCCCTCGAGTCAGATAGCCTTCGCCGCAGTCCCGCTACACGCACCATTACCTATTCTGCACGTGCTCGCCCGCGCTTCTCCCGTGCGGCCCCGACACCCATTGCCAGTTCCACCCACCTACGAACCAGATTTGCAGGCCTACGCCTCCGCATACACTGAAGATTACACTGCATTTAACTCGCCGTACGCTCACAGACCCGCTCCGAGTGAAGAAGATGAAGAGGCACAAGCGGTTGTAATATACGCTCGCCCCAACAAAAACGGGGGCTATTCCTACAGCAAGCGACCCGCAGCCTCCACCCCCAGGCCCAAACGGGAACCTATCGTCTTTAGAATTCACAAATATAAAATAACCAAAGAATAATATTATTAAAAAAATATACATATTCAATAGTTCCTTTTCAGTTGGTTTTTCTCGTAATCTATATAAATTCGTCCTTAAAATATTAAGGCGATACCGACAGTTTGCACTACGATTTCTGTCATTGATCAGACTGGTCGAGCTCGGAGGAAGAGCATAACAGAATGATGTTGTTCTTCTCAATTTGAAAAGAAAATAGTTTAACCCTACTTTGTAGAGTTATGTTATGTTAGCTATTATCTAACCTAACGTAGTCGATGAACATTATTATATATATTTACCAGGAGTGTTCTCACGCCAATTTTGAATTTTTTTAACTTTGTATTTAAAAAAAATCTTATACAAAAATTTAACTCCAGGTTTTAATACCAAAAGTACTCCACGGTTAACACAGTTTTCTAAATATTGGTAATTTCATAGTACAGTGCAACATACAAGAGTACAACTTGAATGAGAGGGGAGAGGCCTACAATCGTCTATAATCTATATAGCAACATAGTTATACTTGGCTTAACCGATGTAAGAATATTGTACAAGGTAAGTCTGCAAAAACAGAAGCAGGCAATAGACAAGATTCAGTTACAGAAATTATATTAAAAACAAAAGGCAACAATTGTAGATTATTCAAATCGACTTTTGTCATAACTGTTATTAATTCTGCCGTTCAATGTCTGTTGCATGAGATAGAGTCACTTTTAGACATGTACAACTAGAATAAGCCTCATTATAAACTTGTCTATTCTTTGTCTTGTCTATTCTTATGATTAAGTTAAATAGACGCGAAAGTGCCTTATGTATAGAAAAGTCTTGCGGTTACCTTTTATAAACACGATTTCCAAAAAGCAATTGAAACGCCAACTTATGTAAATAATGTAATCGATTTGCATTTAGATATATATGTAGGTACGTAAATTTTGGATATCACTATCATAAAATTGAAAGTATAGCGAAAAATATTTTGCTCTCCTCTTTTAACTTCAAAAACAGGACTTTATTCATAAATCCGGCTAAAAACGATAAACATCCTTAAAAATTCCCTTAATCCAACTTCTAAGCGTCGTAAACAGTAAACAAAGAATAAGTATATTCTAAAGGCTTACCTTAGGTTCTGTGAGGGAACACAGGGAACAGTTTTGAGTTTTGATAGTTTTTGATTTTTGATGGACTTGATGTTTACAATTAGCTTAAATGCGGCCGAAACTGTTCTGAGACTGTTACTGTATCTTTTTAAATTTATAGGTATTTTATCAGTTTCTTTTAAGACTGTACCTATATGTGTATAAATATTCTATGAGCAGTGGTCAGAAGCGTACGTACGATAATAATTATTGTCCGATGCTACACTACTATCGATATTTTCACTTTGATTCAAAAAATTCTCATTTCTTCGTGGCAACATTTTATTGTCACGTTTCAAACGAATTTTTATAGATTATAGTTATTATGCTGAATGATACCATCATTTTGTTAACCATATGCGACCGTTTGATAGCCCAGTAGCTTGGGACTAAACCCACCACCAAACAAATTTGTATGAAAATGGTCACGTGACAAAGCATAATACTCTGTAGAATTCTGACAGCTATCATTTTATGTCAGAGATGGCAAACCTTTTTGGCCGGGCACATTTTTCAATTTTGAATACGATACTAAACATCTGAGTCTATACATACATTTTATTATTAGTTAATGTATCCATTTCATTAAGTGCGTTAAATTTAATGTGGAGCACATTAAAAGTGGTTTAGCGGCGAGTAATAATTATAGGTCTACCAGAATCTGATGGCAATTTTTTTTTTTTAAATTAGCGATTTTCATATGGCAATAAAAGAAAAATTTCATCTGTCAACTGAAATTTCGAGGAATTGTTTTTGGTTTGGCTTCAAATTTCCTTTAAAAAGTGATGAAAATGTCGAAGAAACCTCTTCGATCGCAAGCAAGACATATTGTTTTCAATGTTTATCAAAGAATACTTGATCAACAAGATGCAGAACATACACAATCATCGATATTGAGCCATGTGCAAGCGTTGACTGGTTAGTAGGAATGACACGTCTTGATACTTTGGTTTATGGGATTCTTCGTGTGTATTATATTATGTACTTATACTAAATTTTGGTTTATTTCAGGGGTTTCTTATACCACAAATAAACTTGGATAGTTTTGATTTAGAATTGATCAGAAACAAGATAAATGAGTTTTACATTGTTTCTTTCTCTCAAATAGGGATCGATGAATAGCGAAAATCTTGTGAACATGTAATAAAAATTTAAAATAAGTTCATAGAACAAGATCGGTTAATTGAGATGCAGGAGGAAAGGTTTATTATAAATACTGCGTTGAAGACTTTTTTATGGATGTGCAGTATTTGGAACCATTTTAAAGTTCTTAATTAATTAATAAACTCATGAACAGAGTAATTGGAGTTTTCATCTAAATTTCAAACCCCACATTCGCCACATTTTCAAAAATTATCATTGGATAAATTTTTATATATTTTGCATATATCACACACAGAATCAGCCGCTATAAGGAAAAAAAAGTATCAAAACGTTTTACTCCAATTTCCCCAGTATTGCTAGCGTCAATTTCTTTTTTCCCTTTTTGCCATCAGATCCTGGTAGACCTATACTTTCCTTTTCGTCACAAACAGGAAAAAACGCAGAAGTAAAGATGACATTTAATTTTTTTTAAAGGTTTACTAAACCTGGAATTAATAGGCAGTGATGCCAACTAAGGAATAAAATAAAGTAATTAAACTTAATTCGATATATGTATATTGTTCGTGATATTGAAATATTTGTTATTTTTGTATTAGGTCACTTGAGTAAGTAAATATTTAGATTTACCTTTTTGTAAGTAAAACATAAAAAATACGTAGCATTTTTTTAAGTTAAGTCAAATTTTCGGTGGAGAAGTTTTTTAGTAGCCACACTTATGAAATGTCAGAATTCTACGGACTGAAAAATCAGAGTATAGCTAATTGTCAATTGTCATTCCCATACGAATTTAGTTTTTGACTTGGCTAAATGGACCCGTTACCTAGCGGCCTAGCCATAAAATCTTATATATTATAATACACATTTATTCATTTAAATATGTAAAAAATACAAACGTTGTGGATTTTTCAAGACGAGAAATGCCTAGAGTGAAAATTGATTATGTTGTTAGTTTTAGCAATGAAGACCCTGTAAGGTTTTAATTTAATATTATTCAAAATACAAGCTTTTTGTAGAAAACCTTGCAAGGTTAAAAACCATTTGAATGAATGATTCAGGGAAACCCAGCGAGTAATCTTCTAGCACCAGATATAACCAAAAGGAAATGGCTCTGCCGAAAGGGAGAAGCGACATGCTCAGTTGTTCTTCAACTGACCAAAGCTGTTCAGGTGGTTTTTTTTGTATAATGTCTGATAACTTTTTTTATTTCGTATATTAAATTCTTTTGAATTGAAAACAATTATGTTAATTAATTTAAGTAAATAATATTATTTACAGTCTTGACTGTGAATTACTATGTTTATTTATGTTGAAGTTAAATTTTTCTTGAATCTTGAGCACAATTATTGGTAGACACACAAACCAGGATATATTAAGTTATATGTATAACATTCTTTTGAGGGCATTATCTCATCAGTAATTAATTTTATTTGGACCACAAAATTAAGACAAACAGAAACTTACATATAAAAATATTACCAAAATGATGTCCCTATAATATGTGGATGTGCCCTAAAAGTGGTACATAAATGGATGAATTAGAATTAACTGCACAATCGGCTGTGAAATCAGCAAGCAAATTTTAAAATATATAAACATAAACTTTTAGATCTGTAACTATGTATTGTATGTCTGTACATACGTGTTGTTTCAATACTGAACATTACTGTCCTAGAACATCTAGATTTTATGAAATAAAATAAAAATTGCAACACAAGTTACAAATATAGAACATTCCGAATCTCACAATTTTCAAAATATCAAATTACCTAACCCATAGATAGACACGTCATGTCAGAATTTAAAATAAGAGAGCTAAGAACGGACACCTATATATTTTTTTTTTATGACATTTCTGGCAGGTAATCAAAAAATGTTGTGCAGACGAAATAATATCTGGTTTTCACTTGGTCTAAGATCCCGCTATACAACGACCTTCACCGAGATGCTTATTTAATGAAACTTATTTTATATATAATTTAATATGTCAATAAATATAATCCATATGGGTTGCCTAGCAAATTTCAGTCCAGAGTATGTTTAATTAATTTTAAAAAAAATATTTTTTTAAACATTTCACCGGTATGATTATTAGATAAATTCTATACCAATCGAACGTATGAAGCCCATAGAATATGCAAACGTTAGGTTGTTTTTAATCAATTAATTATTTATGTGTATATTTTTTATGTGACACTAAAGTATATATACATCTTTAGTATAAAAGAAGGTTATAGTGATACATATATAATACTACCCTGATTAAAAATATTGATTGAAAAAAGTTCAAAAAATTTACTACATGCAAATTATAAAAAAAAAATTTTTTTTAAATATTAATTAAACATACTCTGGACTGAAATTTGCTAGGCAACCCATATGGATTATATTTATTGACATATTAAATTAAATATAAAATAAGTTTCATTAAATAAGCATCTCGGTGAAGGTCGTTGTATAGCGGGATCTTATACTAACTGTTAGGCTATGTTCACATGTAACGCGCGTTAACGCGCGTCAACGCGCGATCAAATTTGAAGAGCGTTCAGATGATGAGCGCTAACGCGCGTTGCGAGAGTACTCGTCAGTCTAGTTCGGTAGAACGTAGAAAATGGACGTGGAAGAGGCTATTATTTTGTGGTTATATTATAAAGAAAAATATAGAAAAAGAAAACGTACACATTGGGTTTATCCAATTTTGAAAAAAAAATACAATTTATATTATATTTTTTATACAAATTTGCTATATTCCAACTTGCTGACCTTTTTTCTACTTCATCGATTAGTAAGTCGATGTCAATATCTTCAATTTCACTCATTTTAAAAGCGAGAACAAAATATAATTACGAAAATTAATAAAATTACATGCGATCGCGATGAAAGCGCGCGCTCATCTGAACAGCAAACGGACATTACATTTATATCAAAGCGCGCGTCAACGCGCGATCACCTGCGTCTAGAGACTTTTTCTCTGAGCGCCGCGTTGACGCGCGTTAACGCGCGTACATGTGAACAGTTGTATGAAAAATACCATAATCTCTAGTCGCGCGATTTGAAAACGCGCGTCAAGTTTTTGCCATCTGAACATAGCCTTATACTTAAAATGATGCCAGATATAATATAAAAAAAAACAACAACAACTTCTATGTATACATTTTGTACCAGTAACAATTAAAAGTAGTGGAATGTCGAATAGTAACTAGGTAATTGAAATTGGTTGTTTTGATCATGGTTAAAGGGATTTGCATATCTGAGTCACTACTCTTACTTCATCTTGTATTTTAATATTTTAGATCCAGTCAGTACAGATTGGAGCTCACCATACGGCATTAGTTGAAGTGTTGGTTGGACTTTCGGAGAAACCTAACGATCCATTTGAGGTAATTATTTGATTTAATTTATGAATTTTTGTTATGATTTATAATTGAAAAAATTAGGTCCTAGTCCCAAGCTGTGTGTTCGTCTCGGCCAGCGAGTCCCGCCGAGGGTCAGGCGTGGATCGCGTCAGGACCTTCTCCGGCGAACAGCTGAGCGCCACGCGACTACGCCCCTGGGACAGACTGCGGGTGGTGTGTTCACAGCCATACAACAAGCACTGCCAGGTGACGCACAGATTAGTGAGTTGTAACACGGGTGACTCTCGACTCACATTCATATTGAATTTTATACAATTGCCTTACAGCATGGCCTTTCCTTCATCCACGTGTTCTCCCCGGAGGAAGTCGCAAAGGCTGCCGGGGGCAGAGGCCCTGTCTTTCCACTGCCTCTGGAGACCACCTCCGACGACGAAGACACTTTCCGCCCCGGAGAGCTGTTCGCGCGCCATCGCCCTCCCACCTCGGCCGCCGCCCTCGCCACCGGTATTTAAGCGTTCTTTATTAAAGTCGGAGACTGCCGGGGAAAGTAGGCTTCAGCATTAGAGACAAATTTGCACAATCTTCTACAGATGCCAAAATAAGACAAGCGTCGTCCAACGTGCTCAAAAACATCTCCGACCCGTCGACCAGTTTGAGCAAAGTCCCGATCGGTCAAACGACCTCAGAGCGAGATTGCAGAGACACTAGTCTTTCTCACAAAAATCACGGTCAAAAGAGTCTGAAGAGGAAGAGAGAGTCGTGCGATAAAAGAGAAGAGAGGGAGAGCAAAAAGAATGCTCCAAATGAAGAATCAGTCGATAGGAAGCTTTCTTCCGAACGCACCGTGGCTCAGAGTGGTGAGTGATGGTCTTCTAGTCGCTTCGTTTTTAGCCTTCTTGATATTCGATAGCGACTCCTTCTAGCCACAACGGACGACGCGTTCTGCGCCGGCGGCATCCTGCGGGGCGTGGTGTTCACTCTCAGCGGCTACCAGAATCCCCGGAGGGGGCTCCTGCGGGACGCCGCTCTGAGCCTGGGAGCGCGGTATCAGCCCGACTACTCGCCGCGCTGCACGCACCTCGTGTGAGTGACGTTCGAGGTCGAAAGGATCGCCCGAAGAGTTCTGCTCAAATGCGAGATCGTTTCGTTCCCAGATGCGCGTTCCCCAACACGCCGAAGCTTCGAGCGGTGCGAGCGAGCGGCGAGGCGTGCGTGGCCGTGCGCGGAGAGTGGCTCGAGGACTGCGCCCGCTCTCGCCGTCGGATGCCTTGGAGGCCTTACGCGACGGAGCCCCGGCCGCCGGACGTCCCGGACCCCGCCGAGGCGGAAGAGAGCTCGGGTCAGATTTCGCCGCATTTCAATATTTAAGTCCCATTTGAGCCGTTTATTTAACGTTTGGTCGTTTAGGGTCTGACACGGAAGACGAGATCGAGCGCGTGCTCCGAGCGAACGGCGACTCCGACGTAGGTGACGGTGACGTCACCCGCCTCGACTCCCCGCCGCGCGGACGAAGCTCGCGGCTCTCGCCCGACAAGGTATTTCACACGCCGCCCCGCCTCGCGCCGTCGACGCTCGTCGCTCACGTCGCGTTTCGTTTCAGCTGCTGAGCGACTGCTTGGAAGGATGGACGTGCGGCGTCTGTGACGGCCTTCCCGAGTCGCGCCGGGCCCTGCTGGAGCGGTACCTGCGGGCGTCGGGAGCGCACGTGGCGCCGGAGGGGCGGGCGTCGCACGTGCTTTGCCAGGGCGGACACGAGCGGGAGCGGCACGGGTCGGCCGACCCCCTGCGGCCCGCCTGGCTCTGGGCCGCGCTTCGGCTGCGGGCGGCCCCCGACCCCCTTCGGTACTCCCTCTGTCGCGATCCATCGTCCGAGTGAGGCACCGATCGTCTCATATTAAATGCTGCCCACGGAAAAACTCTTTTCATGAAACAGAACGACGTCGCCAGCCCCGATCCCGTCTTAGTTCCGCTCGGACATGACCCTCGTCGGTCTTTATCTATTTCATATATTGCAGAAATTGCAATAATGTTACGCCTTTTGAACTCTGTGCTCGTAAAGTTTCAAATCGTCAGAACACAGCTACAAACAAGTTCTGTTGATTTATCCGTTTTAGTCTTATCTTGATACGTTGCGTGACGAAAGAGTTTGAAAATTTCTAATCAGAGGCAATCAAGAGATGCGAAGTGACCACCTTACACAAAAGATGTAAGAAGAAGAAACCAAAATTTCATTTTGATGAAGTTAAGACGGGGCACGTTGGGCTAGAAGGGAGGCGATCTTTCATCGTTGATAATTATTATGCAACTATTAAAAACCGGCAAATTATTTATAATACAGTAAACACAACGCTAGAACTGAAAATGACGACAGTGAATTTATTAGAAGCAATGCAAAGGAGTTAAAACAACTTTAGTGTTTGAGGTACACCAAATGAAAACCGAAATAGAAGTCGATGTCTTTATTGTCCTCTGACCTCTGACTTACATGGCGGTTTTAGGGCGACTGATTGATCCACGTGCAAGTGGAATTATGAAATAATGATACGTAGACAATATTACAAATGGAATTACGAAATTTCTATATAGACAATAATTACACCTCTACACAACTATTTATGCCACTGATTTAGGAGAAACTTTCGCAGAAGAATGCGTCCGTTTGCCGCAATTTTCGAAATCTGACACCGAGGCCCAGCATTCTATTCCTACCAGAACCCCAAAGGGTCTGTTGTAAAAAGTTATAATATTTCATGCATGTTCCCGAATGTGGAGATATTAGAGAATTTTTTTTTGGCAATGAGTGTTGCCAACTGCAGGTCTTTTTCAGTACTTAAAAGAGTAAAAAGTTACTTGCGCTCCACACTCCGCCAGCAAAAGCTTGCTGCGCTCTCGCTTATGTACATGGAAAGAGATTTTAAACAAACTATTAATTTTGAAAAAAATGTTGTAAAATATGCAAAGGCTAAAGCATGAAAAGGCTTTTGTATAAGCTAATTAGGTACTTAATTATTGAAATTTTAATGATTAACCTAGAGCGGTCAGAACTCTTGATCAGTCTCTGCCTCCCGGACACAATAAGAATTCATGATAATCGTAAAGAATTATTTATTACATGAAATATTTTACAAAACATTTTATCAGACGCCGACGCTTTTAAACTTTTCACTGAGAGGTGAGAAGAGTGAGCTTTTCGTTGAGTTGGAGTTGTGTTTTGATGAGTTGAGCGAGAGTCACCACCTGCAAAAGGAATTCCAATATAGAGGCCAATCTGAGGTCGAGGAGTGAGCTAAGAGAAAAGACGACACGCACCATGAGGGAGTCTTTGACGCTAGCGTTGAAGGCGGTGGCGAAGGTGTCGGCGGCCATGTTGGGCACGGAGTTGACGAGCTCCAGCAGCTGCCGACCCACCGCGTTGTGCGGCGAGGCGCGCCCCGCCACCACCTCGTCGACGTACTGCAGCACCTGCTCCAGCAGGGATCCAAGGCGCCCCGACGCGTCGGCCACGAGCGTCAGGTCTCCGCCGGGCTGCACCTGGCGGCCCCGCCCGCCCACCGTCTTGGAGCACAGCCGCAGGGCGCCCACCTCGGGCTCGTAGCGGGCCAGCTGCACGTCCACGGGCGTGAACATGCAGCCCTGCTTGCCCCCGGGCACGCCGAGCGCCGCGCACACGTAGCCGCGCAGACCCATGCGCGCGCCGGCCAGAGACGTGTCCACCGTCACGTGCACGGGCTCGCGACACTCGCGCGCGTAATACTCGTGGATCACCGACGAGTGGTTCGTCACCTCGTTGCCCGTGGCCCACCAGCCTGAGGCGGATAATTGTTTATTTTATTCATACAGAAACTCATTTATTACCTTTAATAATAACATAGGTGGTTTCTTAGGACGGATCAGTTTTAAGAGTAATTACTTAAATTACTACACCCAAAGTTCACTATGACTAGACCAACAGGATAGGTTAGGTGAAGCAGGATTAAATTTCCTAGCCTTTTTGGTATTTTTTTTATATCTTTGTATGATAATACAGACATAGGCTGCCAACTAGAATAAAAAAATATCTGTTGAACTGTCACATTAAAATTATTAAGTATAAATCAGTAGTTATCTGCCATGTTATTAATGTTTTAGCAATTGGAGAACTATTACAATAAATTCATTTATGCCTAATACTGGACAATTCGCATTCGTAAATTTAAAATAAGAAACAAAATACTAAAAAATAAATGTTATTACCTACGATACTCTCGGAAGCATTGACTCGCCGATTTAGCTCATACACATCCATGGCATAGTTCAGTTCGGCCTCCACCTGATCGGCATGTTCTTTATGCGGGACACAGAAGCAGTTGGTCACCTCCACCACTCCTTTGTCCGCAGTGCCTGCAACCCAGAAACTTAACCTGTAGGTTTACCAGTTATTATACCAACATATTTACCTAATTTACAAATCCTGACCATTTACAGCCGCTTGTTAATATTAACAAAGTTTACTCATGGTTCAATAGAAGTACATTGTAAAAAGAAGAGAGAACACATGAAAACCGACAAATGAAACCGCACGGTTAAGGCTATGTAGTCAAAATTCAAACAGTTAAACTAAGAGAAGAAATACCCAATAAGGTGCCGATAACTCGATGTGAATCTGCATTTCGACGTTCGTATGCATCAACAATTTGAAATAATACAACAGGATGAATTTTAACAGCTAGGTTGAGCGCCATGTTGACGTTTAAAAGAATATTAGCACAGATTCTGTGCCACAGAATGCTTTTACAGGTAAAACTCTTATCAAAATACAGAATGACGGATGACATAGTTGTAGCAAGTTTTTCTAGGACTAGGGCCTAGGGGGCTTATTTAAGAATCAAGGTGCCTTATTAGTAGTGTATGTATGTAGAAAGTCGAAAACTAAATTTGTATGAAAATTACAAGGATTAGCATTACATTCAGATTTTTCTCTGAAAAGGCACTAGTCTTTTCCCTTTACGAAACCAGCTGCATCTGTGTTATTTGCCTGTTACGGAGTCTGTGATCTGTCGTTTTTATGTGTTGTGAGGTGTGAGATAAGAGAGTACCATACCATAGGTACGAGAGTTTTCATACTTCTTAGTTTTGGGTTTGTTTTCCCCTTTTTGGGTAGAGGCAGGATTAAAGAGTGACTCCAGGATTTTAGCCAATTGATAGTCTCCATACTGTAACTGTACTGTACTTGTAATTTTCTGGATTCCTTTTTCTCCTAGCACCTTAAAAAATTTTCAACGGTCTAATATTGTCAGCCCCAGCCGCTTTGTTGTTGTTTTTGAACCGAAACGATTACTTCAGATTTTTGCATGCAAAGACACTTATTTTGAAGTTATACTTCTTTAGGCGCGTTATGAGGAATTGATGAGAGTGAAATTTTACGATGCGTGCGCACCGTGACACAAAATTAACAGAATGAAGTTGCCCACGGAAGATGCTACGGCATTGGACATAATTTAAAAACAACATTCGAATAATAATGGAATTTACGTTACACTTAATGTAAGAGAATAATAATAAATATTTATTTATTTAATTTTTCAAATGTAAACTGAACGTTATTAACTATAATGACTCCTTTTCCAGTCTTTGATTATTTATTTGTAATTAATTATTTTCATGCAATCAAAAACTATTTTTAATAAGGCCAAAAAAGTATAACTTCTTACGCGCGTACATAAGTACACGCACCCTTTTTTTAACATTTTAATTAAAAACATAAACATTTCGCAAACCCCTATATTTTCCTTAAGCTTTGATAGCGTTTTATAAAGCTTTGATATTAGATTAGATTTAAGCCCATTTAGATTACACTCTGTTATAAGCTTTAGTCTGTGCCCCAAGTAATGTTATGTAAACAAACGTTAAAAGTATTGTACCCGAATATTTTCTCATATTAAAGTTTTCTAAATGTTAGCGTTACACTTACGTTACCAATAGTAAATTTTATTTTCTTCATACATTTAATAAAATGTTTCGACATATCTTTCAAGTCTCAAAACCTATGAGATGGAAATTGGTTAGTAAATGTGACAAACGTCTGATTATATTTAAACGTGCTCGCTACCTGTAATATAAATAACATGATAAATGAATATTCCAATTTAAAACAGAAACGTGCAGTGGGTGGAAGCGGCAGTGCATTTGAAAATAATAGCGTTACAAAAGAACAACAACTGACGGAGGCATTGAAGAGAGCAATGCCTGGCATTTCATATGTGTGTGTAGAAGATATATCTGGAGGTTGTGGAGCTATGTATGAGGTAAGTAGCCAACATTAGTCCCGGCGGACTTATTAATGGGTTTGGCGCATTAAAGTATTCCGTATTTTGTACATTACTTACATTGTTTTTATTCCACTAGTTTTAAATCTCGAAAATTTTATAATTTCAGATAAGTGTAGAAGCAAAGGAGTTTATTGGTTTATCAAGAGTGAAACAACACAGGCTTGTAACTGAAACCTTAAAAAGTGAAATAGCAGAAATGCATGGTATTAGAATCCACACAACTCCATCATCATCTAAAAACTAGAAATCACCATTTTAAAATAGAGTATATCGGTGCATTGGCTGTGTTAATATGTTTATTAAACAATAACAATTTTGTTTTATTTTGTATGTGCACAACTACTTCCTGCACACAATATTTTATAGAGCAAGAGCCTACAATGGCCAGACACTTGTTATTTTATAAAAACTGAAAGTTTATCTGTTTGTTTCCATTTTCCAACACGAGTAAGAATAACCAGTGACTATAGTTTGGATTGTGATTACTTGGTCAGGTAGGTAAAACAGGTAGTAAAGCTGTGTAAAATACCTAGGTAACACTGAAAATGTTTAGAAAATGAAAAACGGCTTAAAGTAGAAAGTTTATTGTTTTTCGAAGTAATATCTGTTCCTCTCTACACATCGTCGCATTCGATAGAACCACTGAGAAAAGCAGTAGGCCCATTCTTCCTTAGGGGTCTCTTCTATGGCATAATGGTAAAGCGAATACCTCGAATTTTATCTTTAGTTCTTGGCAATAAATGAAAGTAGCAGGGCGCCAGGTCAGGACTGATGACTCATTATCTCGACACCTGCCATAGTCAAATATTCAGCAGTCCGTTTTGCGGAGTGCGCTGAAACATTGTCGTGGTGAAGGAAGATCCTACTTCGAGGGCGCTGCTGTCGGACCAAGACAAGTTTCCAAGACAACAGGCAAACAGTGATTGACATACCAGTCTGCAGTAAATGTCCTTCCATCTTCTAGCACAACAGTCGCGAAATGACCGAAGAATAAGGCAATCATTTTTTTCCTTGACTTCTTCCTTTCTTTACCTTAGTTGGCCGATCCTCGAAAGGAAACACCCACTGAGCTGATTATCTTTTGGTTTCGGGTTCGTAGCAATATATTCAGCTTTCATCACCTGTGACGATGTCAAATACAGCATTTGAGTCACCGCCGTTGAACTTATCTAACATTTGGAGACACCAGTCCATGCGGTTAAAGTATTACAAACTTCAATGGGGCCCCCATATAGATAAATTGTCGAAAAAGCTTAGCGCTGCAGCATACGCCGTTAGGAAAATTCGTGATTTAACTTGTTTAGAGACAGCCCGTTTAGTTTACTTATTTTCATATTGTGATGTCGTACGGTATTCTGTTGTGGGGAAATGCCGCCGATATTCAGACAATTTTTTGTTTTACAAAAAAGGGCTATTCGTTCAATTTACAAATTAAGTCCCAGACACTCCCTCAGAGATAAATTTAAAGAAATTAATATAATGACTGTGCCTTCTCAGTATATCTATGAAAATCTTTTGTTTGCTCATAAAAATATCAATTTGTTTAAAAAATACAGTGACGTCCATAACGTGAATACTAGAAACAAACACAAATTTGTTGTTCCTACAACCAGGCTTAAAAAAACAAGTGGTTCGTTTAGATGCCAATGTATACGTTTTTATAATAAACTACCTAGCCACATTCAAGAACTAAGCCTTAATAAATTATACTATTATAGGCTAATTTATTAGCCTTAATAATCGTCGGACGTCGAGGCAGAATACGAAATTCCACCCGTATCACCTCGACGTCCGACGTTCCACAACTGAGCGTTTTTCAAGGCAGTTTTTGCCGCGCACCACCATTATATGGAACCAGCTGCCCACTGAAGTATTCCCGAACCAATTCGACTTAGGGTCCTTCAAGAAAAGAGCGTACCAATTCTTAAAAGGTCGGCAACGCACTCGCGAGCCCTCTGGCATTGAGAGTGTCCATGGGCGGCGGTATCACTTAACATCAGGTGAGCCTCCTGCCCGTTTGCCCCCCGTTCTATAAAAAAATAAAAAAAATAAAAATTCAAAAATTGTATAAAGCGGAAACTTTGTCAGAAAGCCTTTTATACTGTCAAAGACTATATTGAGGACAAAAAGGCTTGGGATTGAGCTGCTCCAATAAATTTACACAATTAATGTTGATTTAAATACCTTTTTACATACTCTATGTACAATGACATGAATATTTACTTTGTAAAGTATTACTTATACTATTTTTAATTATTGTGAATGTGAAGACTACGTGGATCATTGTTTTTTATTTATTTTATCCTTTTCTCAGTGTTAGTCATAGTCTGACAGTTTGAGTAATTTATGCGGCCTACCCAAATGTCTTGTCTTTGGACTTGACAGGTCCACTCAATCTGTTTGGTTCTTTCCTCAAAAGACCATTTCAGACTGCAATCTACATGGTCTTCACATAATCTTGTTATGTCTGGACTTTAAAAGAGACTGTGACCTCTGAGTTTGTTTCGGCGTTTCTTCTCAGAGTAGTCAGATAGGAAACGTCGATCTCATCTAGTTTTAAAAAAAATATGTTTGACGTGTAAAAGTGTTTGTATAAACCTACTTACAGAATTAAATCATTTATTATCATGGTTTGAAGGGGAGCCGTACACAACTTTTATAAAATAAGGAAGGTCTGGCCGTTGCGGGGTCGAGGGCTATGCACGAGTGACCTCACAATTATAAGTTTCCACAATTTATAAGAGGAACTCGTAATTAACATGTACTTTAATACAATAAAGTATAGTATAACAGCAGCCAGTCATAACTCAGTCGGTTTATTTTGTTAACGTTTAGGGTGCTACGATTACTAAAGTACAATATAAACATGGCTTTGAGGTTAAATGGTGGATGGAGCAAATAAATAAATAAATAAAGGCAAAGGGTGAAATGTAACATTTATTGCAACCATAAGGATATAACAAAGGCGGGCTACGGACTACGAGTACAGGCGGACGGTGCCGTCGGCGCCGGCGGCGGCCAGCCAGGGCTGCGTAGGGTGGAAGCGCAGGTCCAGCACGCACAGGTCTTCGCGGCGCTCCGGACCCCGCAGCTGCTTCAGCGGAACCAGCAGCGGGTTCTGCGTCAGTTCCTGGTACACCATACCGTGCGACACCACGATGCGCTCGTCGTCGCCGGCCGACGCGAACAGCGGGTACCGCGGGTGGAAAGCCACGGCCCTCACGGCCCCTCCGTGCAGGCGCAGCGTCTGGTAGGGCTCGCCCGACAGCTCCAGGTCGAACCAGACCAGCTTGCGGTCGTACGACCCCACGAGCACGTTGTCGCCGCCCGGGTGCACCGCCACCGAGCTCACCCACTGGGCGCCCGTGAGCAGCTTGCGCACCAGCTGCTGCTTCACCAGGTCGTACACTCGCACGGCGCGCTGCGTCGCCACGAGCAGCCGCGGATCGCGCGGGTGGAACACCGCGCACTGCACCAGCCCTTTGGCCGTGCGGAAGGGCAGCTGCGATCTCCGCCGCGAAACCTGGTGCACGAGCACGGCGCGCGCTCCGCCGTCGCGCACCGTCGCCGCCAGGTAGTCGCCGCGCGCGTGCCACGCCACGTGCGCCAGCGGCCCCAGGTGCCGCACGGAGAGCCGCACGCCGCGCGCCCAGCTCGCCTCGTCGACCTCCTCCCATTTGACGGCGGCGCGCGTGCGCTCGTCCATCTGCACGTCGTGCGCGGGCGGCGCGTCGCGCAGCAGGCGGTCGGTGCGCTCGGCCACGCGGTGCGCGCCCACGTCCGCCCCCGGGTTGAGCAGAAGCAGCCGCGCGCCCGCCGCCGCCGCCACGAGGCTGAGGCCGGCCACGGGAGTCCAGCGCGCCGCCGCCGCCGGCTCGCCCAGCGCCAGCGTGCGCAGGCAGCGGCCCGAGGCGACCTCCCAGACGCGCACGGTGCCGTCCTCGCCGGCGGTGAGCGCGTACTGGCCGGCCGGGTCGAAGTCCACGCTGCGCACGAGGCCCTCGTGGCCCGAGAGGCGCAGCACCTCGGCGGTGGGGAAGGGCTGCAGGTCTCGCGGCGAAGGCAGCTTCGGCACGAGGTCGTCGGCGCGGATGGTGAGGCGCATCTTGAGCGCTCGCGGCGCCAGGTACAGGTCGAGGCAGCGCAGGAAGCGCTCGCGCGTGAACCGCTCGTAGGCTGGCACCTCGCGGAGGGACGCGTGTCGCGTCGGCAGGAAGGTGTACTTGCGCTTCCACGGCGTCTCCCGCAGCTTCTCCCACTCCTTCGTCTGCAACGCGAGAGAGAGGCGATGTAGGGCGGTGGACGATCGCGCCGAGACGCGTCGGTCGCTCGACCGAGAAGAAAGGACGAACCTCTTTGCGGTCGAGCAGGTACTCGGGCGGAGGGTTGTAGCTCTCGGCGTGGGCGGGCGGCGGACGCCGCGGGGCGGGCAGGTGGCGGGGCGCCGCTCGGCGCGAGACGGCGTCGTCGGAGCCCCAAAGGTCGTAGAAAGCGCGGGCGCGGGCGGCGCGGCGCCGGGCGGCGATCTCTCGGCGGGTGTGGCTCCAGCCCATCTTCAGCGCGTGCACTAGGCGCGCCACCTGCATCTGCTCGGAGCGCGAGGGCAGGAACGAGCGCTTGTGCTCGGGGAAGGCGCGCAGCGGAGTCGCCAACACTTCGCGGGTGAACCACTCGGTCCAAGGCTGACCGCATGAAATAGAAAGAGTGTAAAAATACTGATGTTCTTTTTGAAGTCGATTTTGTCGAAGTACACTTCTACAGTACGGTCCCTGCGTGCCCTCACCTCGTATTCGTCGTGGGTCTCCGAAGGGACGTTACCGTTTCGGATTCTCTCTATGAGCTTCAAGTCGTCTTTGGACAAGATGACGTCCTGACCTGTGGAAGGATCTTTGACCGTTCGCCAAAACTCGGGGTCTTCACATTTTCTGTAAGAGAATAGGAAATATATAAAAGACGTCTCTATAAAAACGGACACGCCCCGCAGCGTGCAAATTCTGAAAAATGCAGCGACCTGAGGAAGTCGTCGATGAGGTCGCGGCGCTGCGGCCTCGCTATGCGGCGAGCGTCGAGGTCGTAGCCCAGATGCGGGAACTCGTCGTACCACCAAGAGGGCACGTCGCCCGCCGTGTTCACGCGCTCTTCCTCGTCGCTCGAGTCGCCGGATTCGTACTCGTCTGCGGAAACCAGTCGTTATCAGCTTTTACTTGAAAAGAATAAGCCACTGCCACTTCGATCGCGTCTCTGTCACTCACCTTTCTGCTGCACCGGTTGTGAAGTCACATTAGAATGTATTTCGTTTGATAGTTTTTGTATGGAGTCTGAGACTTTACTTTTTATTTGGTTTGTCATACTTCTTTTCCTTAGTTCCTTCTTTTTATCAACACCTTTCTTTTTATCTTGTGTATCGTCACTGGATCCTAGTGTTGGCCCTACGGACTCCGATCCACTGTCTTCGCTCTCTTCGTCAGAATCATTTTCACTATCTGTCAATTCCTAAAATGTAACACTTTTTCAAAGACTGAACTGAAACATTACAATGCATACAAATTTCATTTACTATACTGCCCAAGACATTAAAGTGTGCACGGAATTACAATAGACAGCCCTAAAGCAGAATAGCTCTTATGAGATAGATATTGAGACTTGTTAGTGTAAGATAATCAAATCAGGGCTAGGAGGAGTTGAAGCCAAGCCAAGATTACATAATCATATTCAGAAACATTGTAAATTGAAAAATATATGGTAAATGAATTATAGTCACTTATTTAAAATGTATGCAAACTAATGTTCTTTTTCACCTTTTATTTAAAAAAAATGTTATGTACATAATATTACATTTCCTACAGGTAAGGTAGGGTTTTTGCAGCTGAGTTTCATCATCGGACGTCGAGACAGAATACGAAATTCCACCCGTATCACCTCGACGTCCGCCGCTCCACAACTGAGCGTTTTTCAAGGCAGTTTTTGCCGCGCACCACAACTATGTGGAATCAGCTGCCCACTGAAGTATTTCCGAACCAATTCGACTTAGGGTCCTTCAAGAAAAGAGCGTACCAATTCTTAAAAGGCCGGCAACGCACTCGCGAGCCCTCTGGCATTGAGAGTGTCCATGGGCGGCGGTGTCACTTAACATCAGGTGAGCCTCCTGCCCGTTTGCCCCCGTTCTATAAAAAAAAAAAAAAAAAATGTAACCTGGACAGTATTTATCTCATACTTTCATAAAAGTCCCTTCAAAAGTTCTACACTTGGCGTCAAAAAAATCGCACCTTTCTTAAAATTCTTGTCAAGCGATTATAACTTCTAAGATACTTCCTGTACCCTATCACTATTAGTATCATTTAAAAGCTCAACTAATAAGCTTTCAAAAACATAATTATTTGTTTACGGAAAATTAAAAACCACAAATCGCCAGCACTTTGATTAAAAAGTGGCAATGTACGCGTTTGGAGGCTCACTAATTGTACCACCCTGGACGCGTATAAAACGAGGGGGTAAAAGTCAATTACGGGTTATTCGCTATTCAGACGTCACAGAGGTCACACCTGAAGAGCTTCGACAAGAAAAAACCCAGTGAAAATGGATACCATGGCAGAAGAAGCAGCTCAAGTGGTGGCCCTACTGCAAACCGGACTACGGCAGGTTGAAGTTGCTCGGCAACTGAAAATCAGCCGATTTCGAGTGCAACAGGTATACCAACGGTACCAAGAGACTGGAGGTTACATCAGGAGACATGGATCCGGGAGACATCGCTGCACTACCGTCAGAGATGATCGCTACATTGTGTCGACGTCTTTGGGGAACCGCTTCTCCAACGCTGTGGAGCTGCAGCAGCGGCTTCAAGCTATTCGAAGGACAGCAGACAGCGTCTCCACTATCAGAAGAAGGCTGCGTGAGAAGAATTTGCTGCCCCGGAAAGCTGCTACAGGCCCCCAATTGACTGCCATCCACCGGACGAACATTAAGTGATTTTAGGAAACGCACGTGCCGTGGACATTCGACCAGTGGAGGAATGTCCTGTTCTCCGACGAAACCCGAGTGTGCCTGTACACCAACGACTTGCGTAAGAGAGTCTACAGGCGACCAGGGGAGCGTTTCACACCACCCTGCACCGTGGAAACCGTCGGGTATGGAGGAGGATCCTGTATATTCTAAGGCGGCATTTCTATCGACGGCAAGACAGACCTCGTGTGCGTTTCCAGAGCTGGAGATGGTCGCGGCCAGGGGTCTCTAACTATCTACCGGTATATCACCGAGATTTTGGAGGAGCATGTGGTCCCATGTGCAGGTTTTGTCGGTGCCAACTTCGAGTATATGCACGACTACGCCCGGTGCCACACAGCCTTGATTGTCAAGGACTACTTACGTCGAGTTGACATCAAGGTTATGGACTGGCCAGCAAGAAGCCCCGACCTCAATCCTATCGAGCACCTCTGGGACGAGCTGAAACGGCGAGTGCAGGCCCGTAATCCAGCTCCTGCCACTCTCGATGAGTTTCGAGATGCCGTCATCGAGGAGTGGGACAACATTCCCCAGGAACACGTCATGATGCTCATCAGGTCCATGACTGACCGCTTGGAAGCTGGTCGGAGGGCTAGAGGAGGCAACACTAAGTTATAAGACTAATTTTTAAGGATTGTTATTGTTTATTTTTAATTTTTGTATTGTTCCTTTTCTTTGTAATTTTGATCAGAATACACATTGTTTCACATTTTCCCAGAATTTTCTTTTTTTATGGGGGTGGTGGCCAATTTCCTACCGTTTTCAAATAAGGGATTTCATTAGCTTTCAAATGATACTAATAATGATAGGGTACAGGAAGGATCTTCGGAGTTATAATCGCTTGACACGAATTTTAGGAAAGGTGCGATTTTTTTGACGCCGAATGTATTATGATAAATCATTACAGACAAAATGTTTATCTCTGCCTTTTAATAAATTTATTAAAGAAAAGCTGTGAAAAAAGGGCTTACTATAAAGTTAACGATTATCTAGTTGATAAAAGGGCATGGGACTAGTGCTAGACAGGCTACTTCTAATTAATTTGTTTTAAAATAAGTGTTGTTTGATGATTTGCTATTTTAAAAGAGTACCGAGAGATTTTATGCCGGCTTTTTCTCTCGGCCTACACCCTCTGTCTTCTTTGCCGATGAGTAGGGATGCCTACAAATTCAAATTTAATGACGTGGAATAAGTGATACATGTATCTTATGTTCCATAATAAACATATTTTATTTTTTTTATTTCCTTGGTTGGTTTTTAATAGATCCAAAAGATCTCACTACACATAAAATAAATGGATATAAAATATATTTTCCAAATTTGTACTTACTGAGGATTCATCAGCAGAGTGGTCCGAGCTATTATCACCCAGAAGGGAGTCAACATCATTATCAAACAAAAGTTTCTGCAAAAAATATTATAAAACAGTTATTGAAATAATGCAGTAGAACAGAGAGAAATTCACATCACACAAATTGGTGTTTGCCATTAAGCTAACTCGGATAAAATGTTAAACATTGAAATGTAACTCTGTTTTTACAAGTTAAAACATTATAGGAAGCGTTATAATAATGTAAATTAAGTTAATATATAGCTAACATCTTGTTCTGTATCTGATTTCTCGTCTGACTCGTGTTCAGAATCAGTTCCATCCTCTTCATTGTCTAATTCACCTTTTAATAAGTCTTCGTCTTTATCACTATTTTCATTTTCCTGAAAGTTAAAATATACAAAATTAATATTTACTTTACAGGTAATTGAGCAAGTATCTTTTCAGATAATATATTTTCCTTACTTCTTGTGTTGTTCTATTACCGCATGGTTTAATACCCCCGTCAAATTCTATCTTTCGTTTTAACAAACCAGTTCGGAATGGAGGCATTTTAAAATCATACTCTTATAATAATAAATAAACTTAAAATTATAAATAGTATTCGCTTATGAAAATTAAAAAATATTACATTTGTAATTTGTATACATTAATAAACACGTGCACCAGAGTCTAGAAGACAACACACTTGACACTACACAGTACACTGTACAGTACACATAGAATATATCTTTTAAACCACAGATCACGTAGAACTTTAGTTCTACAGTTGTCACAACTCACAGTGGACAGCGGACACCTACAAATAGTATTTTAGAAGCGGTAATAACCACTGTATTTATATAATTTATTTGGAATAACTGTGATCAATACATTGATATACAAAAAACCCAAGATGCACACTCAACGTCAAAAAAACGTCCTCAAAAAATGAGCGCAACATTATAAATTGTGCGCTCATTTCAAATAGTCTCGCGTCTACAAGTGGAGTCGATGTTATTTATTTGTGTTTTTTTTATAAATAAATTTATGTACTCTTGAACTTCTTTGTGTGTAGTTTTTGACAAATATATTTACGCTATATAAAGTGTGGGTCAGGAGGTAGCCAATTTAACATTTTTTTTTAATTTAAAGAAAAAACTTTTTAACCGGATTAAAGTTATGTATTATTATAAATTGACAACTATTTAACATCCAACACCTTTTGTCTTCAGTCACCGTGACCACTCACGCTGTAAAGCACCCGAAAAGTCGGATAAATTTAAAATTATGTTAAATAGTTGTAAATAAAAAAAGTCATGTTCGACTCCACTCAATACCTTGTCCTACCGACCACGGTCGGTCGTAAAATTTTATTGCTTTAAGTACGTATACGCTGCGTTGTAATAACAACTTTAAGCAATTCGCGTAAGGTTGATTTTGCAATAATATATGCTTGTAACATATACTGTTATGGACAGAAATATTGTTTCGGGACACTTTCGAGCGTTACTTTTATATGAGACTGTGCATCTTGGGTTTTTTGTATATCAATGGATCAATATGAAAATCTAATTCATTGGAATCCGAAGAGCGTAAGCTTCGGAGGACGGCTGGACAGTAACTAACTACTAACTTGTCAATTAAGTAAGTAAATTTATGTTTTTTTTTTAATGTAATAATAGGCAAACGGGCAGGAGGCTCACCTGATGTTAAGTGATACCGCCGCCCATGGACACCCACAATGCCAGAAGGCTCGCAAGTGCGTTGCCGGCCTTTCAAGAATTGGTACGCTCTTTTCTTGAAGGACCCTAAGTCGAATTGGTTCGGAAATACTTCTGTGGGTAGCTGGTTCCACATAGTGGAGGTGCGCGGCAAAAACTGCCTTAGAAAACGCTCTGTTGTGGAACGACGGACGTCGAGGTGATACGGATGGTATTTTGTATTTTCCCTGAAACTCAGCTGCAGGTATTAGACCGAACAACTCCTCTGAACACTCTCCATGGTAAATGCGGTAGAAGATGCAGAGAGATCCCACATCTCTACGCAACGCCAAGGGATCAAGCCGCACGGAAAGTGACTGGTCGTCGACGATTCGAACGGCTCTTCTTTGAATACGGTCAAGTGGAAGGAGCTGGTACTGGGGAGCTCCCGCCCAGAGGTGAGAACAGTATTCCATGTGGGGCCGAATTTGCGCTTTATAGAGATACAAGCGGTGGCCCGGAGTGAAGTACTGTCTCACCTTGCTGAGCACACCAAGCTTTCTGGAGGCTAATTTAGCCTTTCCTTCCAGATGACCGCGAAACTGAACGTTATTCGATATGTCAACGCCCAGTATTCCGATGCTAGCTGAGGCTTTAAGGAGAGTGTCTTTAAAGAGGGGAGTAGCGACAAAGGGAGTTTTTTAGCGGAAAACGCGCATACTTGTGTCTTCTTGGAGTCAAATTGGACTAGATTTAGTCTACCCCAGTCCGAGACTCCACGTAGAAGAGTTTCGACTTCAGACACAAGTTTGTTCCGGTACTCATCGACAACAGCCCGAGAAATACCAGCCCGGACAGTGTAAAAAGTATCCCCAGTGCTGTCGTCCGCATAGCAATAAATGTTGCTAAGCTGCAACATATCATTGATATGCAGAATAAACAGGGTCGGGGATAGGACACAGCCTTGTGGGACACCAGCATTCACAGGTTTCAGGTCGGAGCATGCTCCGTCGATGACGACTTTGATGCTCCGATCAGCGAGAAAGCTGGAAATCCAGTTGCATAATTTCTCAGGGAGCCCATAGGCTGGAAGCTTCGAGAGCAGTGGTCTGTGCCACACCCGATCGAAGGCTTTCGCTATGTTCAAACTTACCGCCAGCGCCTCCCCCTTGGCATCAATTGCCTCTGCCCACCTATGTGTAAGGTATACAAGGAGGTCACCAGCTGAGCGACCACGACGAAAGCCGTACTGAGAATCGCTAATCAGCTGGTGGCTCTCTAGATACCTCAAGAGCTGGCTGTCAATAATGGTTTCCATTATTTTGGAGAACAAGGAGGTTATAGCTATTGGGCGATAGTTGGACGGATCAGAGCGATCGCCTTTTTTAGGGATCGGATGTATCTAAGCGATCTTCCAGCACTTCGGAACAGTGCCGAGCGTGTAAAGGTACCGGAAAAGGCGCGTTACGACCGGAGCCAACTCAGGAGCACAAGTACGCAGCACAATTGGGGGGATGCCATCAGGCCCGCTCGACTTATTATGTAGAGTACTTAAATGTAATTCTACATAAATTTTTCATCTGCGAACCTGGTGTGAACTTGCTGTGTATCAAAAGAATCGAAATGAAAGTATCGATATCGGAAGGTATCGAGTAGTTTTGAATACATTACACCTCCCACATCTCACACTAGGCTGTCTGGTTACAAAATAGACAGTCTTTGCTATGGTGCTCAGACTGCTGTTTAACAGACTTGTATATATGTTTGAATATGATTATATGTATTATTGATTAATAGCACGCATTACCGTGACACAAATGATGTGCTTATTACACAATATTCATCATGTGTGAGAATCGAACCCAAGATCGGCGTTAACGTCACGGTCACTTACGCTATGTTAGTATATAGCAGGAACGTTTCTCACAATATTTACGCCTCAGGGTATCGATACCCCGAGGTATCGATACGTTTTGCTACCCCAGGGGGTCTAGCCATATTGGTGTCGAAAAGTATTCTACATACACTACCGCTTTTGCGTAATTGTATTGTCGAAAACGCTTCGTTCGTAGCCAAGAGGCATGTCGATACATTGCCGCAAAGTCGACAGCGTAGATGCGAGCTGCTGTTCGTAGCACCTTATTCCGTCATATTGTCTCTGGAGTCTGGATTAAATGTATTCCTAATGTCACTTTTATAAACAAATAATAGTTTAAACTACAATATTATTGTAAATTTGCAATAACTGCAAATTCCAATTATTGGAAGCTGCAAAAGGGACATTAGAATGTCAGCAAGGTCGGAACAATTTTCGATTTAAGTGGAATTTACGGAAGGTGCAAAGTGAATATATGAATTTTAATTGCATGTTTAAATAAATTATGGTTTGTTTCATGTTTTCTCAGAAATTTAAGGCTACAAATAAATACAATATTTTGAAAGGTAACAGTTTTGAATGTCGTCGCATTTATTTGATGATACTAACTATGCAGGAGTCTCGGGGACCTTCATTGGAACACCTCCAAGTGATTTTTGTTCCAGGAAACGCGTCTAAGTATTTTTAATAAAAATTTAAAGTTTTGTGAAATGTATTGAAATTTGTAAACAATCCGCCATTTTCTACGTTTCTATAGGTTATAAGAGATGTGACATTCACTTTAAAAAATCGTTTTTTAATTAATCGATTGTTAATAATCGTTTTTTAAGTAACGTTTATAAAATTAATAGGGATGTGAAAAATAATTGATTTCTTTAAAAGTGAAAATCGATTTTTGTATTCGATTTTAATATTAAAAATAATTGAAAATCAATCATAGTTGATCAGTTTCAGTTGAACAGTTATTTTAAACATAAATGTTCATATACTAACCTAACCTAACCGATCTAAATAATATTTGTTTTTTTGGACAGCTCCGATCTAAATAATAATTGTTTATTCAAGCCTCCCCAACCCGGCTTTTTGGTCGCCTTCGGCGACCAAATATTCATATACTAACCTAACCTAACCGATCTAAATAATATTTGTTTTTTTGGACAGCTCCGATCTAAATAATAATTGTTTATTCAAGCCCCCCAACCCGGCTTTTTGGTCGCCTTCGGCGACCAAATATTCATATACTAACCTAACCTAACCGATCTAAATAATATTTGTTTTTTTGAACAGCTCCGATCTAAATAATAATTGTTTATTCAAGCCCCCCCAACCCGGCTTCTTGGTCGCCTTCGGCGACCAAATATTCATATACTAACCTAACCTAACCGATCTAAATAATAATTGTTTATTCAAGCCCCCCCAACCCGGCTTCTTGGTCGCCTTCGGCGACCAAATATTCATATACTAACCTAACCTAACCGATCTAAATAATATTTGTTTTTTTGAACAGCTCCGATCTAAATAATAATTGTTTATTCAAGCCCCCCCAACCTGGCTTCTTGGTCGCCTTCGGCGACCAAATATGCATATAGTAAACTCAAACTCAAAATATCTTTATTCAAGTAGGTAACCAAGTACACTTTTGAATCGTCAAGTTAAATTAATCGTAAATTTACATTTACTACCAGTTCGCAAGTCAAGGGCGTAGAGCGGGTAAGAAGAACTGGCAAGAAACTTTCCGCCACTCTTTTTAATCGCCAAGTATTGTCATACAAATTGTTTGAACTGGAGCAATTCAATCCCAAGGATTAGGATCATTTAAGTAGTCCTCAAATTTATAAAAAGCTTTGTTGATTAATTTTCGTTTAACGAGGGCTTTGAATTTATTTAGTGATAATTCTCTAATTTCGCTTGGGAGTAACCTAACCTAACCGATCTAAATAATAATTGTTTATTCAAGCCCCCCCAACCCGGCTTCTTGGTCGCCTTCGGCGACC